TTATAACCCAAATTAAGGGAGTGAGAACACCACTTGTATAGAACTACCCATGAACCTTCATGTAGGGTTTGGGGGGAGTAGCCGTAATGGTTGAGGAGCTTACCATTACCAAGGTTGTGCTAATCAAACGGCTTAAATCGTTTCTTGGTTCTGCAAAACCGAACTTCTGGGTTTGCGTAAGCTGATTAGAGAATGCCACAAAATCAACATAAAATCCTACTTTCAATAGTATAGCATCATACCAGGGTATTACTGAAAGCTGAAACCTTTGGTGCCTTGTGTACTAGGGAAGCCAGGTTGAGGGTTTCTGGGCGGTTCCTGGTGACTCGCTGAATATAGGGGCCGTAATAGTCACCTATACTAATTTGGGAGTTCGTTATTATAATGATAGTCTAGTATACCCCCACAGGCCCATGTATAAATTTGTTAGTTTTGGCGGGTCTGTGGCTTTCTCTGTAGGGACCTCCGCTTTTGTTGCTTAGCTCCTGAGGCAAGTAGAGAGTCGGCATAGATTTGTGTTGTGTTGTCGTTTCTAGCTTCCCGACAAGGTTTACCCTTAGAGTTTTATGTTTCGGGAATACGTTTATGCAAAGCTGTTAGGTATGCTGCAGGGTTGGTACAGTGCGGCAGGGTTTACGGTGTAGGGGGTTTCCATGTACAATGCCGGCAACAAGCACATCCGCAGCAAGAAAACCTCTTAACAAATAAGACTTGCGCATGTAAGTGCAAACAAAAGTCGAAACTGAAAGCCCTCCAAGGATACTTTTAACAGGCATCCTGCTAGATTGGCTCCCTTCTTGTCAGACATTCCCCGATTTCACTGGGGTTTCCCTAAAACCCTAAGCCCTAAACCCTAAACACCCAAACCCTCAACCCTAAATCCTTAACCTTTCATCCCTAAACTGCCCTAAGCCCTTAACTCAACCGGAAGCTTCGCTCAGGATACGAAGGGAAGTCGAATGCAAGCATGCGCCGGGAGATCAAGAACTGGTCCCAGGTGTGAGTGCGCCGGAGCCTTCTCTTAGATCCCCAATACCTAACCTTCAAGCCTTTTGGGTTCTTATAGTGTAACCTTTCATTTATGTGTGAGTCCGGAAGCCCTCTTTGGTGTCTTTGAGAGCTCTGTTGAGGATTAGGGGGTTTAGGGTTTAGGGCCGTAACCTAGTAGATGAGTAGGTAGCCTTTAACTTTTTCTTAGATCCCCAATACCTAACCTTTACACTTTTTCGGTTCTTTATAGTTTAGCAGGAATCAGAAAGTTTAACCTTTCATTTACGTGGCTTGTTGGGGTAGTAAGTTCTGGTGTCTTTGAGAGCTATGGTCAGGTCTGTTGAAGGAAGACTCCAACGCTCTACAAACCCTTAGCACCCTAAAGTGGAAGATGTAGGGGCAGTCGCTAGGGAAGCAGAAAATGCAACGAGAGGACACAAGCGCTAAACTCTAAACTCCAAGCCCCATAAACTCCAATCCCTACCTGTAGCCGGAAAGGGCCGGAAAGACCTACCGTTTGAGGGTTCGTTATTATGGTTTCTGTATATAGTTCCCTAGAAGGTAGGTCTTTTCGGCTACAGGTAAACCTTAAACCGCCTCCTGCTTAATTAGGGGAGTGACTTTAGGAGCCTAATGGCCCACCAAGCTTCGACAGGGAACGTTGCAAGGTCACCAGGGTCGCGTATGATGGTTCTGGGAACCTCGGACTCAGAGCAGGCAAAGTGCATCGATCAAGAAGTGGGGTGTGGTGGAATGGAACGGCCACTTCAAGCAGTGATAACTAGTGAGGGCAGCCATGAAGCTGAAGGTCCGGGATCTTACCCTGAACGGGCTTAGGGTTTAGGACTTTAGGAATTACCTGAACGTCCGCGATGAGTACACCAAGGGCATTAGTGACCGCGTTACCTGGGTCGGAGGCATTCTGGATGAATCACAGTCGGAAAAAAGGCGTTCAAGAAGAACACGAACCCTTACCCCAAGCACGACCTGGACCCCATGAATATCATGATTTCCTTGTATAGATCATTATTAAAAGTGGGTCCTTTGGGGTTGAGGTAAACCCCAAACCCTAAAAAACATGCACTTGGCCTCACTCTGGGAGCACCCTTCACCTGCGAGACAGCAGTGTCCGACTCGTCTTCCGGCCAGGAATCGGATGTCTGAAGGGCGTTGGTTTCTTTTTAGGATATGAGTCATTAGAGTTTAGGGGTTTAAGGGTTAGGGTTTAGACCCTAATTTAGAGAACCAAAACTACCTATGCAGGGTTGCGGGAGTCAGTGTTTAGGGTGCAAGGGTGTAGCGGCGTAGGGTGCACGGAAAGGCAACACTGGCCCGATCCCACGGCATGCCGGCAAGCCTCATATGCCATCATGGTATAGACCACTGCAGTACGAAGTGCCTGGTATGCGCATGTGTGTATATATATAGAGATATATTATGGAGGTATGTAGGCTTAGATATGTATACATATATATATATATATATATATATGTAAAATTGTACTGTACTGTATGTATGTATACCCGGGTGTATATGTTCATGTCCATGTTGACATGTATGTTTGCATACTGAGAGACAGGGAGAGAATAGAAGCCATCTTGTCAGTTGTGGTCAGGTCAGTTACTTGTATGACATTTGTGTATTCGATGTCTATCGGGTGCACCACGACATCCAGACCTGCGTGAGAACTGGGCATGGCTGCGCAGGTCTATTGTTTGAGCCGTTGTGGATAGGAGCCAAGTCCTCTTGGAGGTTCATGGGTACTTATAAGTAGGGTTATAAGTCCCTTAATATGGGTCATAAGTCATAAGTATAGTTACCCTACTTTTATAACTACCCATGAACCTCCAAGCTTTGGACGACAGTGCGCTGCGTGTGGTGCGAAAGAGGTGCTTTGACACTCGGGCCGGGTTTGGGGCTTCGGGTTCTGTCGCCGACCTGGGAGGTAGCAGTTATCATGTCATTTACATCTAACTGTCTGGTGCTTAGTAGGGAATGTGGGAATGGGTTATGGGGACTGTTCTTGGGGATTAATTATATAGGGGCTACTACGGGGGATCCATTCCCCCATTCCCTACTAAGCACCAGGGAGCTAAGTTGTACTACAACCTTCACGACGGTACTTGACCGAGACCTGAAAACCAATTGACTGGCAAGTTTAAGACCAGTATGTTAGGGTTTAGGGGTTTTAGGGTTAGGGTTCAGGGGTTTAGGGTTTAGGGGTTAATCAGAACCCTGAGTTTAGGTCCTAAACCCCCAATTTCAATGAATGAGTTCTCAGATTTGCATTTTTTCGAGTCATAGGTAGTAGGGAGGTGCACTTTCCGCACGCATCATTCCGGCTCCTTAGAAAAAGAACATAGCACTCTTCGGACAAAAGGCGCCCTAATGTTGAATTAAGAAGCCTCGCTGAAAACCTTTAGGAGCCCTGCCTATACTACAGGGGTGAATAATTACCAATGGGTTCCTTTAAATTTAAAGGGATTCTTAAGGGTTCCTTTAAGGGATCTGTAGGGTTTAGGGTTTAGTATAGGGGCCTGAATAATTGCCAATACTATTTTCGGGGTTCCTTATTTTTCTTTCACAGGCCCCGAACCCCTATTCTAATTATTAAGAGCAATCTAGAGTCCTGAATATCAGGACCTTTCAGATAAAGAAACCCTTGCTCCCATAGCGCCCGATGCCCCTGAACTAAGCACTACACCATGAAGTCCCTTATAAGTTAAGGCATCTGCCTTATGCAAGCGTTATTGGGGTCCCCCTGTGGTGGGCATCGTTTGATGTAGAAGCTTGAACAAGCAGAAACATTGCTCCTTCAGAATTCCTTGCTGTAAGTATACTACTATATTCCCCGAAGCCCTGTTCAAGTGCGTAAGGCCCTTGTGTATGTCCGAGGTTGAAAGTATGGGCCCCTAATATGGACCCTGAGGCCTTTTTGCGGGGATCCTAGGGGCCCTTAAGAGTCTATATAGGGCATATGGTAGGTATATAAGGATCCCAAGGGTAAGGGCCCATACTACGGTTTATGATATAAATCCTGCACTACCCCCACTACCCCATAATAAGGAATATGCGATAATTCCCATAGTCTCGGGTCCTTAGGGTAATGCAGGATTTCTATCATCAACCCTACACCCTAAACCCTAGAACCCTATAGATCCCTTAAAGGAACCCCTTAAAGGTACTCTTATGGATCCCTTCAAAGGAACCCTAGGATTTCTATCATCAACACGAGGGGCCCATGGTCCCAACTGTTGTATATGGCTGAGTGGGAGGATTCGGGGTTGAGGACCCTGGATTCATTCAAAAAAGGGCATAACATACGAGCACGGAAAGTTTTTTTCATGTAGATCCCAGATTTATGAAAGTTTTTGCTGCACATCATGCTAGAATCCCAATCGTATGATTTTTAGGATAGGGTGGTTCATGAATCACCTAATTTGGGCACCTACACTATTGAAGTCTCCTAGGACCCTATTACAACTATACTACAAAGGAGCCCAAAACCCTATTCTAATTACTAAGGCACGAATTTGGGAACCTACACTTCTGAATTCCTGTAGGAACCCTCTCAAGGGGCACCTCGTAAGGGCTCCTTTCTCCTCCCACGATTCTCTTTGGACAATGCTCTACTTGAAGGTTCATGGGGAGTCATAAGGGTTCCTCTAAGGGCCCCTTAGTTTAGGGGTTTTGAAGTCTCTGTGTACCCTAAACCCTAAACTCTAAACCCTATAGATCCTTTGTAGATCCCGCTTAAGGAAACCCCAAAAGATCCGTTTCCCTAAGGGGTTTTGAAGTCACTGGGACCTTTCCAAGTCCACAGAGTCTCTCATCAACCCCTTCTCGAACCAGGTAACTTAGCAGCTGAAACCGAGGCGGCAACTTTAGTTTGTTTGGGCTTCTATAACACCAAAACCCTATCTTTGAAGCTTTAAGCTGAACCTAGTAATGGAGTAGGTAACCTTTAACCTTTTTTGGTTAGAACAGTCACTATATAATCCCTATAACAGGCTGCCACTCGAGCGCAGCGAGCGCTGCGAAACTGCGGAAAGGACCGAGGGCAGATTCCTCTGAGAGCTTAAGGGTCTAGGGTTCTGTAAGTTGCGGGTTTAAGGGTTTAGGGGCTTAAGATGTAGGGTTTAGGCTTCTATAAGGGTTCTATGAGTTCTTAACGGGTAACATACATACCTCGGACGGTTCAGGATTGAGGGTTGAGGGTTTTAAGGGTCCCATTACCTTAATTTCTAGGGGCCTTTTTATTATGGTTGAGGATGCTCTGGGGCCTCTGTAAGGGTACCAGGGGGGTTCGATAAGGACTCTGTAAGGGTCTACGGGGTTCTATCATGGTTGATATGATATTCTATATGGGTTCTACGAGGGTTCTATGAGGGTTCCAGAGGGAACCTCGAGAGTCACAACGCCATGTTTTGGAGGCTTGGGGAGTGGGGCTCAGTATGTAGAGCTGGGGCTGGGGAATTGTCGGGCTTAGTATCTGGTCATTTGAGGATCTACTTGGTTCATGGGTAGTTAAAAGTGGGGTTAGGAGTAGGGTAACTACAATTAAAACCCGAATTGGGGGACTTATAACCCTACGTATAACGTATCAAGAACCGTAGTACTCGCCCAGGCTCCTTCTCATACCTACTAGGAGATTCATCGCTATTGATAGGTCGAGCTACTTAGTAGCTGAGTGGACAGTTTACACTTTTTGGGATAATATCACCTACTATAAAACTGAAAGTGTACACTTTTTTGGGGTGCTTATGAACTCTGCAACTAGGGAAGTTATAAGAAGGGCAATCACATATATAACAAGCCAAATTAGGGGAAGTGTAACCCTGCTTAAACCGACCCATGAACCTCCAAGTATGGTATGATACGCTTGATGGTTCAAATCCTGCAGTACCCATAGTAAGGAATATACCATAATTCCCATAGTTGCTGCCGCGTTTTTCGCGTTTTGGCGTGCGACATGATGCTACTAGTTAGTTGTTCTACACATTGCAATTAGGCCCCATACTTGGAGGGTCGGGGGACTTAGTAAGTAGGTAGTAAGTAGACTTATAAGTATAAAACAGACCCTAAGTAGGGTTATGGTATTTATCAGTCCCTAAAATAGCCAGTTACTAAGTCCCCCGACTCTCTAAGTACTAGGTTCGACCTGCAATCCTGGAGTCGAAGATTCGGAAACTCCCATTTGCCAAAAGGATGGAACCCTAAACCCTAAACCCTATACCCTTATAGACTCCCTATAGATCCCTTTAAACGGGCCCTTAAGGAACCCATTATGTTACTAAGTCCCCCGACCCTCCAAGAAAGGACGGACTGCGTCCACCGGCGCCTCTCCACACCGCAGCTGCCAGCGGAAGCGCCCAGGCGCTGAGCAAATGCCCAAAGCCCGGAGACACCAATACCCCTTAATGAAGGAATATACCTTAAATTATTTCAGGGATAGACTCCTATACCCTTAATTAAGGAATATACCTTAAATTATGAGAGGATCCTGGTGAACCGGTGAATTTTAAACTTTTGGGCCTGCTCTATCTTAGAAAGTTTGAACTTTTTTGGGCCCGGCTGTTGAAGAAGAGAGTTAATTCATCAAAATACCTTAAATATAATAGGATCCCTGAAATGTTTTAAGGAATATTCCTTAATTAAAGGATATTGGAGTCTCTGGGATTCTATGGGACCTGTGGCAACCCCCAAGCCTATCCAACTGCAACTCGTTTCAATTTCACTACTTCACTTATGTAGGAACCTGATTAAGCAACCCTGGGCCCATAGCCCCAAAATAGGAGGATTCATAGAAGGAACCCTAATAAAGGCCCAAGGCTTCTTAATCAGGTGTCTACGTTATTTTAGTACCCTCATAGATCCCTTGTAGTAGCCCTTATAGTAGCCCTTATAGACCCCTTCAAAGGAACCCTTATTCAGGCCCAAGGCTTCTTAATCAGGTTACTTCACTATTTAATCCCTGGCTCTAGCCTTGGGCCTGGATTTGACGAACCTCACCTCCTCCTTGGAGGGTCGGGGGATTTAGTAAGTAGGTAGTAAGTAGACTTATAAGTACCCGAAAAGGACCCTAATTGGGAATAGGATACTTTTAAGTACCCTAGAAGGGACCCTACTTGGGGTTATGGCACTTATAAGTCCCTAAAAAGCCAATTACTAAGTCCCCCGACCCTCCAAGTTGTGTGCTGGCGAGGCAGTGGAGGCGCTACTTCATCACAAAGCGACCGTGACTGCGACAGAGGCGCAAATCATTTTGTGTTGGCCAATGCCTGATAGAATGATGATGTTCAAAAGTATAGCATAAGAGACCACGCACCCCGTTTTAATCAACAAGGCTGCTGTACTAATAGTTGGCCAGAGCTTAATTAGAGTTGGCGTTCAAGACCGGAAGGCCGCGGATTTTGTTTATTGTCGATGCAAGGCGCGTGGCCCTAATCGTTTTTGATATGACATTCGCCTCACATTGTTTTAGTTTTATGGACTTCTTCTCATCATGGGTTAGCACGTAATTCGGGGGTAGAGGACTTTCTGGGTGGAGGGGGAGCAATGTGTGTGTGTGTGTGTTCGCAAGAGCGGTTTCTGTGAGGTTTCGGGTAGATAATGTGTTCCCGTTTGTGTGAGAACTTCCAGATGACCAGATGACGAGGGACCTTAAACCTGAAACCCTGACCCAGAGACTCCAATATCTCTTAATTAAGGAATATTCCTTAAATCATTTCAGGGATCCTAGTATAATTTAAGGTATATTCCTTTATTAAGGGGTGTTGGAGTCTCCGGGAGCGTCGGTGCATGTACCTCATTTGGTTTGGAGCGTGATTGGCCCACGAGTGAAAAATTCTCAGTGGTTGCGTGGCTAACCTGACAGGCTTGTAATGGAGGGGCCGTAATAATCAGAACAGGGTTTCTGGGGCTCTTCATGACCCGTAATAACTATAGTAGAGTATACCCCCAAAACCCTATTCTAACTATTCAGGCCCCTATTATCGAACCAAAGCCTCGTTGGCCTGGGACGTCGGCAGCCGAGATCTGGGGAACCCTACACCTTACAGTGAACCCTAACTTAGTAGCTGAGTGGATACACTTTATACTTTGGGATAATATCACCTAATATATAACTGAAAGTGTACAATTATGGGGGCATATGAACTCAGCAACCAGGCTGAACCTGTACTTAAAGGTATCCTAACCCCAATTGGGGTCCCTTTTAGGGTAGGTATAAGTTTACGCACTATTACTAAGTCCCTCGACCCTCCAAAGAGGGTGGAAAAGGATTTGGATTTTGGACTTTGGGCTTGAATTCCTAGCAGTGGACAGCTTGAAGAAATGCAGTTCTACCGTATATCCGCAAAGTCCCCATTAAGGGTCCCTCCTTTCCCCCTAAACCCTAAACCCTAAACGTAGTTGTATACTCGTAAAGTTTGCCCATGTCCAGGCGCATGGTGTCATGGCCTTGCACCTTGCGGCGGATCGTGGCTCATCGAAGGTCGCTTCGTCGTCGTGGTTTTCTGTTTTGAGAGACCTTTGGGACATCTTACATTTCATATAGTTTCCCTTATTTGGCCGGGGAGATACTATTTACGAATGTTCTCAGAGGCGTTCAAGGGCCAACCTCGAAAAGTCGTGGTTGGCGGGTTTAGGGCTTAAGAGTTGGGTGTCCCTAAACACTAAACCTTAAACCCTAAACCATTGTCCCAGACCTGGTTTTGCGGAAGATACTGGCATCATAAATTTGAGGGATGAGGTTGAAGTTGGATTTCCATTTGGGAGTTTCGGAGAATAGGGGACTAATATAGTACCCTAAATAGAAGGATCCTTATTGTAAGAACCCCAAAATAAGGTACCCCTAACTTTCGGAAACTCCCATTTCAGCTTAACCGAGGCTTCAATGAGGGCGGGCGTGATTGCCAAAGTGCATACAATCTATAGGGGAGTTTCCAAAAAGCTAGGGGTACATTATTTTTGGGGTCCTTATGATTAGGATCCATTATCTAGGGTACTATATTCGGGTCCCCTATTTTCGGAAACTGCCATATGCATGCATGTCGTATGTCTGCATGGTCATTGTGGATGTATTGGGGCTGTACTACACTACGGTGTAATGTAATATAATGTCAGTGCTCATGTGTATATATATATACACACAGACATTAGTATTATGTGCACATACCTACATAAACGTACATGTGTGTCAGCACATGTTTATTAAATTTATGTGTTGCACACAAGTTGACTTGCTGATCCACGCACGCATTCCTACAAGCAAGCGAGCAGTCATGCGTGCGCACATACATACAGATACCGCTACTACACCTGCAAATCAAACAAACATACATACATACATGCACGCATGCATGCATAAGTCGCGTGACTGCAAAGCTCAATGTGTCATAGTGCTGTCATGACTGATACTGTACCTTCGCTGCTTCAGGCTTCTTGCTATTGCTTCTACCGGACCATTTCTCGGAGGTTGATAGAGAGTTAGAAGTGGGGTTCTGCGTCCCCAAATTTCTGATAGAATTGCAGATTCCGTACTTATAACTCCACGTGTGCTGGCCATGAACCTCCAAGTATCATACACCTATTGTTGCTGCTGCTGCTGCTGCTCCTGGTGCTACCCACGTGCAATCGCCGCTATGACAAACAGCACTGCCAGGCCGTTGCAGCTACTACTAATACTACCACCAGCAGTATTTGTGCTGCTGCACACAGCGTGCACACCTCCAAGCCCCGAAAATGTTTCAGATGGTGACACTCTGTAGGAAGTTACCCTCTTTCTGCGTGCTTCTGTTGATGATATAAAGCCTGCATTACCCATATAAATGAGGAATATACCATTATTCCCATAGTTTAGGGTCCCTAGGGTAATGCAGGATTTGCATCATCAACCGTTGCAAGACCGCCTCTTTTCCAAACCCTTTGCCCTTCAACCTGCAACTGTCTGGCTCTTAGTGTTCCTTTGAGGGTTACTATAAGGCTTATACTATAGGGGTTTAGGGTTCTTAGTAGGCTGTCTGGTTCTTAGTAGGAAATGAGGGAATGGATTATGGAGACTACTATTGGGGAGTAAATAGGGACTACAATAGGGATCCATTCCCCGATTCCGTACTAGGCACCAGACAGACAAGCATGTGTCGTACTGAACCTAGGCCACTGCTGCTAGAGGTGTCTAGGATTTGGTGTTTTATGGCTTAAGTTGTTTGAGGCGCAGAATTCCAAGCTCTTCTTCAACCATCCGTATCATACCCCGTATAACCCTTACCGACCCCGATTTAGGAAGCGTATGCTGACATTTGCGGCCCGTGTATAAGCTTTGTCAGGTGGTTGAGCTATTGCTCGAAGCCAAGGCCTTGTCTCAGATATGAGAGTACGAAAATTAGGGGTACCTTATTTGGGCAACCTTATAACAAGGATCCTACTATTTAGGGTACTATATAGGGTCCCCTATTTTCGGAAGCTCCCATATATGCTTGGATACCCTAAAATGATAGGTGCCTTACTAAATTACGGACCCAAAAGTGGCCCTAATTTTGACAAATACCCAGAGGTGCCGGGCTGCCAACCTGTTGGAGCTTCAGGGTTTGGGTTTAGGGTTTTGGGTTTAGGGTTTAGGGTTCAGGGTTTAGGGTTTAGGGTTCAGGGTTTGGGTTTAGGGTTTAGGAGGTAGTGTGGGGTTTAGGGGTTTAGGGTTTAGGGGTGAAGGTTTAGGATTTAGGAGGTAGTGTGTGGTTTTCTGCGTCATCGCTTTGTAACAGAGCGAATTCGAAAAGTACTGTGGGTCTTTGAGAAGTCTTAGGATTACAGATAACATGAAGTTTCCGCGTAGGAGCAACACCAGCAACACCAACAACTGTGCATTTCTAAGTCTTCTACCTTCTGGTAGTCAAGTGTTGCCGTGACATCTGCTGACAGCCCGAATATGGAATATGGTTTTAGGATATTTGGTCTAGGGTTTAGGCTTTCTTGTGGCTTCAGAAGCGCAAAGGGCTTAGTATGCTTCCACCATGTGCACTGATTCTTTCGAGTACCTCTTCTTGGAGGTTGACGGGTACGGGTAGTGAGAGGTGGGGTTATAATTAGGGTAACTGTAAGCATAACCCAAACTAGCCCGCTTACAACCCACTTATAGTTACGGATGAAGAACTGCCTTCGGATCTATGTGATCCAGGGTGTTCAATGATAAACTTGCTTCTTTCTGTCGTTGGGTTCCTGGGTCCTTTGAACAGGGTGTACTTGGCACCTACAAAACCGCCCTAGTTGCTAGTTCAGAGACCTACATTTATGACTAAACAAGCACGTCTTTATTCCAGTGGGCTACCTGACAGCCGGGGACACTGTCTTTGCACTCTTGCATCTAATCGGCAAGAGTCAGGCAACAAAAAGCTATCCAAATTTTGGCCGTTGAGAGGAACATCCCTGTTTCTGAGCCAACCTGAAGAGAACGAAATTGGCAAGGCATATCGCAACCTTACGTCGCCTTATGTGTGTGATCTGTGTTCTTCGCTAAACGGCTGGTGCTACAAGGTACCTTCAGTCCTCCATATTCCAGGGCCCCGCAAACAGCTACGAGGCCACACATAAGACCCTAACGCTGGGTTTTGGGGCTCAGTACAGATTCAAGGGGGTACCTTATTTTTGTCTTCGCGCACAAGAACTTTAAGCTACCCTTACAGTCCCTATATGACCCCATCGAAGCTATAGTATAAGAGCTTCAAACACAATTTCGATTGTTCGAGGCCTGTTCCAGACATCTGTGAACTTTGTATTGATGCCCAAACGCTCAGCTACCACCCTAGACACCAAACACCTGCACTCCAAAACCCTTAGAATGTGCCCCTAAGAATCCGCTTAAGCCCTTGACCTTTTATCCAAAGCCCCAAAACCTGTAGAAGCCCTTAACCCCTAATTAAAGAGAACCCGAACCTTTAAACCCTAAACCCGAAACTGCCAGGCGCCACTAGCTGCAAAAGATCTGAATCAGCAGACCGTGCCCAGATCCAATCAGCAGAGGTTCGTTGAAGTCGGGGAGGAGAGGGCGGGGGCATCCTGATGCACCGGCTCGTACTTAAGGGCCTTTGGACTAAGCTGGGGCCCCCTTCGGGGATCCGTATGTGCGGGATCCGATCGAATATGTAGCGTCTCCATTCGAGTAGACGTTTCCGCTTGAATCGTAGGAGTTTGAGTGTCCAGGGTGTACCGGTGCAGTCAGGATTCCTGGGCTTAAGGTTTAAGGTCCAGGGATGTTTCCACAGATTGCTGGGGTGCCACAATTATGAGTTTTAGTTGTGGATTCAGATTTGTTGGAGGACCATGGGTAGTTACAAGTCCCCTAGTGTGGGGCATAACCATCTAAAAGTTACCCTATTTATAACACCATTTCTCCAGGCTTGGTGCACAGAATTTAGGCTCGCGGCTTCTGGTCGAGTAGTTATGGCAGGTCAAGGTAAGTAGGATCAAGTCTTCAAAGCACTTGCGGTTCTTTGCTTTTCCAATCTGGTTGGAGGATCATGAATTTGAGAAGTCAGGTTGTAAGAACCTGATTTAAGATTACAAGTTGCTACAAGTAATTATGTGTACAGTTACCGTACCTGCTTACCCACAACCCCAGTACTACGTCCTACGATTCGTCAAGCCCTAAACCCTCAACCCTAAACCCCAGTCCTAAGCCCCATGACTAATACATAGGGGCCTAAATACCGTGTGGGGGTTCTTCATAATTCTGGTTATAATACAATACGCTCCAAAGCCCTATTCTAATTATTAAGGCGCCTATACCAAACCCTTGTGATTCCCTTCATAGTATCCCTAGCAGACCCCTTCTAATTATTAAGGCCCCTACACTACAGCCCCTTATGGTCCCTTATAATCAACCCATGAAAGGAAGCTTGTTCATTAAGGCCCTTAAACTTAAACACAACCCCATTACAAGCTGTAAGAAACCCTAAATCCCAACTAGGTGTTACCCTAAACCCCAAGCCCTTGAACCTATTAAGGCCCCTTAACGTAGACATCCCAGGTGCTGCATTTTGCCGCCCGCAGCGGTAACTGCGAAACTCTGGCCCGGGCCTCGGAGTGGAAGCCCTGAGCTGGTTATGTGGGGAGGTTGGGCACTGCCCCCACTCCTATAGCCTGTAGTATGACACGTAATGTACGTAGAGGGGCAGTACCCAATAGGGAGGGGTCGTTGAGGGTTTGGGGTGTTGGGTTGAGGCTTCAGGGTGTAGGGTTGGGGTCGGAATACGTACACTTTCGATGGTATCCCCGTGCAGTCTCTGCATATCTGTACTTTCACAATTACACCCGGAGGAACCCTATTGTGGTTATTGAGGCCCCTACGGTATTTGGAACTCAGTCTGGCTTCACGCGTTTAGGGTTCAGGGTTTTGCATTCGCATTCACTAGGATGCCCAGTAGTACCCTTATTCCGTTTTTGTAGTCCTGGGTTCCTCATAGGGTTACCCAATACCAAAAAAGGAGCCCTTCTTGTTCCTAGGTTACTGGACATCCTAGTTCATTGTTTCAGGTTTAGGTTTTAGGATTTAGGGTTTTGGGAATTCGCAATTAAGGAATTCTGAACACCCATCGAGGGAACCTCAACCCAATATTTTATGTACGTAGACATTATGAACCCGACGCGAGGTTTAGGGTTTGGAGTGGAGGCGAGTTGATGCTTGAGGCAAAGGGCTTTGGGTTTAGGCTTTACGTCGAAGGCTTGGGGTTTAGGGTTTAACTTGGGGCTTACTTGGAGGTGCATCCGTAGTTGCAACTGCGGCTATAAGGCCCCTTAGATGGGGTATCATTATAGTTGCCCTACTCATAACCCCACTTAGAGCTACCCATGGTTCCGGATTTATGGCTGGATGCCAAGGCTATCTTGCTGCAGCGCTGGCTTGCCGATGAGTCGGTGTCGTCACAAGGCCTGTCTAAAAAGAGGGCGGGGCGGAGTGCGAAGGGGGCGGAGGAATTCAGGGAACAAAAGAATAGCGAGAACCGTTCGACAAACAGTTTCACCGACAGCAACTTCAACAGCAGCAACAACCACCTCCACACCGATCAAGGCAACGATATGACAATAAAAACAACAACCATCTTGGATCGTCTCACCATCAGCATCGATGCTATCAGCATCGTCGGAGTCGCCATGTTGCTCGTATTTTCCTTCGCTTATACGCTAGTTTATCAAGATGCCCAGAGAGCACAATGCTTGGAGGTTCACGGGTATAGTTATAAGTGGGTTTATATGTAGGGTAGCTATAGTTACAACCAAAAAACTCCGTTTATAACTACCTATGAACCTCCAAGTACATCCTGATGCGTATCTTCCTGGGTGTTGGGCTTTAGGGGCTTAGGTTTAGGGCTTCAAGGCTCTAGGGTTTTAGGGCTTTACGGTTTAGGGTTTAGGGTTGATCTGCAAGATCCGAGGCGCGGCTCACAGCCTCAACAGGGCCCCAAGCAAGCTGGGTGAGAAAGAAAAGTAGCCCTGGGGACCCAAGTGGAGAGCAATCCCTGAGGCTTAAACCGTGGTTTATAAAAGCCACAAAACCCTGAACCCCAAGCCGTGATTTATAAAAGCCACAAAACCCTGAACCCTAAACCCTAAGCCGTAATGTATAAAAGCCACAGGAGCCCGCGTTTACGGCGGCGCGATCGACTGGCGAGATCGCTGGCATCGGACACCACTTCATTGGGCGGCCGCTGGGCTGAGAGACACTTCTCTAAGGTAGGTTTAGGGGTTTAAAGGTTTACTGGTTAAGGTTTAGGGGTGTAGGGTTTGGGAGTTTAGAATTGAGGGCTTAGGGGTTTAGGGTTTAGGGGCTTAGGATTTGGGGTTTAGGGGTTTAAGGTTTTGTGTAATGATATAATGATATTAGTGATAATGTTGCAATTCTCCTGTGCAATTGTACCTGATTACGCCCCAAGGCCCCGAAGTTTATGAAGCCTGTGATGTAATTCTTGACTGTTAGGTGCTTGGCATCTGAAGTGTCTTAACTTCACGCCTGCAGTGTCATTTCTGTTGTGTTATTGGTAGTGGTTTCTTTTGTTGAGAATTTCAGGTTGAGCGTTTCGGTTTAGCGTAAAAGGGCCCAGAAAGCAACTTGCCGCGTAGCTTCTAAAGGGACGAGAGTCGAGCCGTGAACCCTTATCCCTTGGTCGAGTACTTGGGGGTTCATGGGTAGTTATGAGTGGGGTCATAAGTAGGGTAACTATTCTTAGAACTTATATTAGGGGACTTATGACCCTACCTATAACTACCCATGAAACCCCCAAGTATGGAGGCTCCTCAGAATGCCGTGGCTGGCCGGATGAGTACGGTTTACCGTGTCCTTCCTTGGAAATCCTAAGTAGAGAACAAGGCAACTATTCCAATCCCCCAAATGGGAGTTTCCGAAAATACGGGTACCTTGTTTTGGGGTCCTTATAATAAGGATCCTAGTTTTTAGGGTATCTTATTAGGGTCCCGTATTTTCGGTGACTCTCAAACCGCTGAAGCAGCAGGAGGAGCAGCCGCTGGTGCTGTTGCTGTTGCTGTTGATGCGAGGCAGAACAAAAAGAGCTTGGCTGGGTTGCAAAGCATCACTTGTCTTTTGCAAGGGCTTTACCCTTGTAGAATATGGGGGTCGGAACCGTTCGTGACAGCATTAACTTTTTTGGCACCCGTAGCACTAAGGGGCATCATTTCCCCTTGGTTATTCAAGCCTCCGTCAGCACAGCTCAGACAATCGAGCTCTCGACTTGGGGTGCGAAGCCTGTAACATCCCGAACTCGCAGGTCCCGACACGATTGTCTGAGCTGTGCTGACGGTGGCTTGCTCTAGATAACGGAAGTGATGCCCCAGAGTATTCTCTGCACCAAGAAAGTTAATAGCCGCAAATCCTTGATCAGGTCTACTGGGAGGTTCATGATTTAGAGGTGGGTTTTAAGTAAGGTTCCTTTAGGGGTCCTATACCGTCGAGGGTTGAAGCGTTTAAGGTTTAGGGTTTAGGCAGGGTTTAGCGTAGTTATAAGTGGGGTTATAAGTAGGCTAGCCAGAATTCGAACCACTACCCATGAACCTCCAAGTAGACCCTCAAGCCCTAGAATACGGGGGCATAACTAGCTATAACAGGACAGCTGGAATTTTTCAGCATGCATCTATACGGATTACAGGGGGACTGCTTTTGCGAGGCAATCAGACCTTCATATAACCTCAAGCCCTGAATACAACAGCGTACCAGCAGAGGTGGTGAATGGGCACACTGCTGCCTGCGAGGCAGGGCGCTGCTCGCAGCCGTTTCCGCTTGCGTGCGTGGAGGGGAGGGAGGGAGCGGGGCAAGGTGTTTAGGGTTCAGAGGTTTGCGATACCGTGATCCCAACAATATCTCGGCTCTTTGCCTCCCTCAAATCTCTAGGAGGAAAGATCCGACACCCGCAAGAACTCAAAATGAAACCCCTCCGCTCCCTAATTGGAGCATCGGGGAGGACTTGGTCAGTAAGACGATAAGTATAGAACTATGGTTTCCTCATTTAAAGCCCCATCTACTAAGTCCCACGATCCTTCAAGAATACAGCCTTTTAAAATCTGCAACAAGACTTGAATACTGTTGGAATTGCAAAAACCTGCACGGATTCACGCAGCCCCTGGAATAAGTTCTGTCGCTTGTAACATTCAGATAATATGGGGCCTTAGTGATTAGAATATGGTTTCGGAGTAACGGGTGGTATGCTTATCACAAGCCCTATGAAGTCTTTGTAGTGCATTTGAACCTAGGGCCACCCTAAACTGAAACCCCTGAACCGATGCCCTAAACCCTAACACCCTAAGCCCTACATCCCAAAACTAAAACCCTAGACCCTACATGCCAAAACGAGCACTTTAAACCCGAAACCCCAAGACAGTAACCTTACACCCTGAATGCCAAAACTAAGATCGGGAAGGTGCTCCTCAATGCAGGAGGAAGCCCAGAACCTCCCAAGGCCAGTCATGTCAGGCTTCAACACGCGGCTTAGGGTTTAAGGTTTCTTGGGGGAATCACGGGGATTAGTAAGTAAGGTCGTAAAAGGTTCAGGGTTTAAGGTTTCTAGAAGGCACGAGATGGGTTCTGTAGTGTTTTGGGGCTGCAGGGACTTGGTGAGCCGGGTTATAAGTACTCCAACTGCATTATGGGTATTTATACGTTCTAATGTGCTTACCTCATGAATAACCTCAGCTCTAGGCCCCATGATTCTTCAAGCAAGCATAACAATCTTTACACAACCCTTTTAGATCCCTTGATTCAAGGTTCAAGGAACCCTTCAAGGAACCCGAGCTACTACCTCCCGTGGTGCTGATCTTTGGAAAGGATTCATGGTGCTCCTTCAGAATTCCTGCAAGGGCTGTTCTAGTTTAAAGGGAGCGCCTTAATGACAGTAAGAGTGGGGTTTCTTGCGCAGGCTGCTATAAGGGTTTTAGAAACGTCATTACAAAGGTTACTAGAGAACCGCCTAACCCTAGACCGTGCTTGGAGGGTCGGGGAATTTAGTAACTGGTTATTTTAACGGTTTAGAAGTACCATAACCCCAATTAGGGTCCCTTCTAGGGTACTTATAAGTCTACCTACTACCTCCTTACTAAGTCCCCCGACCATCCAAGTAAACCCTAAACCCTATACCTTAAGCCCTAACCCCTAAACCCTAAACTCTAAATCCTAAACCCACGGGAATTCGAGAATGCACCCTCCAAGTGAAACCTGATCCCAAACCAAAAGGCGCAGAAGCCCTCAGAGCCGCACACCCGAGACCCGAAAAAGCCTTGAACCCGAGTTCCAGCGCAGGGATCAGGGAGCGGAGGCCTGTTTAACCTTCTTAGTAGCTGTGTGGATACACTTTACACTTTTTGGGATAATCATACCCCCTATAAAACTAAAAGTGTGCACTTTGGGGGGCTTATGAACTCGGCAACTAGGAGCTTGAATGCTCAGTTGCTTCAATCTTAACGGGAAAATCCTAAGCAGCCCTGAACCCGAAACCTGATCCTGCAGAATCAAAGGGATCTTTCACGAAATCGCACGCGTTCCATTTTTCAACAGAGACCTGACCTGATCCTTCTGCTCGACATGTGCCTCTAATTCAGGGGCCTAAATCATCCAGAAGACTGAGATAAACGTGTCGGGGTCGGGGTATGCGACGGCGTAGCGTAGCTAAAGAGGGACCACAACGGGATATCATCACTCATTATTCAGCCTTTTGTGTCATCGCCCTAAAGCTCTAGACTCCCTCAAGGAACCCTTGAAAAGACCTTTACAAACCCTCACGCAAAATCGTAAACCGTGTCACACGCTTGAAAACCATGTAACAAGCCCTCGAAGCATCATGATCGACATGTTTGTCTCAACCCTAAACCCCAAACCCTAAACCCCAAACCTTAAACCCTGAACCCTAAACCCTAAACCCCAAACCCTAAACCCCAAAAACCCCAACCAAACGTTTCATGAAAACACAGGTCAGGGCATACCGCCATGAGAAGAGTACGTCCCTGCTGCCGAAGCCTCGTGGGGTCTTTACCCAGACCCCTGGGAGGATCTCAGAAGGGTTTAGGGTTTAGGGTCTAGGGTTTAGGGTTTAGGGTTTAGGGTTTAGGGTTTTAGGGTTTAGGGGTTCAGGGTTTAGGGGTTTAGGGGGAGATCCTTTGATTTCGGACCTAACTACTACTTGGAGGGTCGGGGGACTTAGTAACTGGGTATTCTAGGGACTAGTAGTAGACGTTTGCATGCAATGTTCTCCAAACATTCAGTTTCACCCGCCGAAGCTTCCAGTCGTGCCAATCGTGATGCTCCCAGGCGCTTTCGTGACGATGTCGGAGATCAATTCTTATCGGGAGCCGTTCCGGCGAAACGAGCCCGAACGATTTTCGAGGATGCCGATGCCAGTGGTGCAGCTGGTGTTGGAGATTTAGCCGGTGTGGGGGACACCAGCCATGTACATCGAGACTTGCTCCGCAAGTTGAAGAAAGGAAGAAATGGAAATCGGCCATGGAATTCACAATACCAGTGTGGAACAAGAAGCAATGCATGCCAGGTGAAGGCAAAGTCAAGATCATGCTCCCCCATGAGGTCGTGCATAGTGTGGCCCATTGGAACAAAGAATATGCTGAGTTCTTTAGTTTCGAGAACCTTCGGCGAGAGTGTGCAGATCACATGAATGCAGCAAAAACCGAACTCGGGCTAGCAGGTGAACAAGTCCTGCCCATGGCTTTGTGGCTTGATGGGGTTCCTGTTTTGAGGATTCGGGGCACTTTTGCGTTTCAGTTTTAGGTTAGAGTCATTTTAGGGTCCCTGTTAGGGTACTTATAAGTCTACTTACTACCTACTTACTAAGTCCCGCGACCCTCCGAGTACAGGGTACTGTGCAGGAACCCCTTTCCTTCAATTGATCCACTTTGTCCCTAAACCCTGAACCTTTAAACCCCTAAACCCTAAACCCTAAATGATTTTTTCAGGGGTCTCGGTAGAGTTTCGGCTTGAACAAGGTTTGGGGGCTGGCGTTTCTTTGACGATCCCTGAAGGGCTCCTCTAGGCTCTAAGGGTGTAATACTTTGGGTTGAGGGCTTTGGGGTTTCAACCTTTCAGCTTTGGGTACGTCTCGGGCTCTCGGATGAACGATTTTTGATCGTATGTCACACTAGATATTCGCCAAAGTTACATCGTTAGCCGAGTTCGGGCTAGGGAACTCTGCAATTACTTAGAGGTTTATAAGTGGGGTTAGACGTAGGGTAACTGTACTTATAACCCATATTATGGGGGCTTATGTCCCTGTGGAATTACCCATGAACCTCCAAGTAGTCTTCAGCAATTGCCCTTCTTGGCCGTAGGGAGGGTCGTACTCAGGTGCTTTGGATTCAAGTAAAAGGATTTGGGGCCGACGCTATCGTACATGTGATAGCCCCGTAGCACCCTCTATAAAGCCCTACAATATCGTATAAACCCCATACGGCCTTCATAGCACCCTCTACAGTATAAAGCCCAACAGCACGCGTCAAACCGGCTTCGGTCATCTCAGGTCTGAGAGCCCCCTGGAAATTGCCCAACGCCGTGGTGATGAAGAACTAGTGCCTCAGTCCGACGCAGTCCTCCCTCCCAGAGCGGTAACGTAGAAGTTGAGGTAGGGGTAGTGGTAGAAGTGGGAGTCGTAGTAATTATTCTGATTAGATTATTACTATTATTGATAATAGTAGTAGTAGTAGTAGTAGTAGTAGTAGTAGTAGTAGTAGTAGTAGTAGTAGTAGTAGTAGTAGTAGTAGCAGTAGTAGTAGTAGTAGTAGTGGTAGTGGTAGTGGTAGTGGTAGTGGTAGTGGTCGTGGTCGTGGTCGTGGTCGTGGTCGTGGTCGTGGTCGTGGTGGTGGTGGTGGTGGTGGTGGTGGTGGTGGTGGTGGTGGTGGTGGCTAGGCACAGCCTTGGATGGCCTCGGCACAGCCTTGGCAGAGCTGGGCACAGCGCTTGGGGACAGCCTGGGCAGAGTTAGGTGGTGGTGGTGGTGGTGGTGGTGGTGGTGGTGGTGGTGGTGGTGGTGGTGGTGGTGGTGGTGGTGGTGGTGGTGGTGGTGGTGGTGGTGGTGGTGGTGGTGGTGGTGGTGGTGGTGGTGGTGGTGGTGGTGGTGGTGGTGGTGGTGGTGGTGTGGTGGTGGTGGTGGTTGGTGGTGGTGGTGGTGGTCGTGGTGTGGTGGTGGTGGTGGTGGTGGTGGTCGTAGTGGTAGTGGTAGTGGTAGTGGTAGTGGTAGTGGTAGTGGTAGTGGTAGTGGTAGTGGTAGTGGTAGTGGTAGTGGTAGTGGTAGTGGTAGTGGTAGTGGTAGTGGTAGTGGTAGTGGTAGTGGTAGTGGTAGTGGTAGTGGTAGTGGTAGTGGTAGTGGTGGTAGTAGTAGTAGTAGTGGTGGTAGTAGTCGTGGTAGTAGTAGTCGTCGTCGTAGTCGTAGTCGAAGTACAAGTACAAGTAGAAGTAGTAGTAGTAGTAGTCGTCGTCGTCGTCGTCGTCGTACTCGTAGTCGTACTCGTAGCGTACTCGTAGCAGTAGTAGTAGTAGTAGTAGGAGGATGAGGAGAGTAGCAGAGTAGGAGGGTATGAGGGCAGGAGAGCAGGAGAGTAGGAGTAGTAGTAGGAGAGTGGTTGTGGTCGTGGTAGTGGTAGCATTGCTGGGCACTGGAACTGGTACTTGTAGCGGTACGGGTACTGGCACTGGCACTGGTAGCGGTGGTGGTTGCAGTCGCAGTATTCTTAGTCGTGGTGGTGCTGGTTAGGTTCTTTCATGTATTTCAAGGTTACTGTACACTCGGTTAACTGCTGTACACCCAAACTCCCATATTCAACCTCCATAATGTCCCCTATTGGCTAATCCTTACTTAAAGACCCCTCTTCAAGAAGCCGTTTCAAACGGACCCTAGTTTAAATTAGCAAGGCTCCGACATAAAACCTATACAATCCTTGAGAACCCTTAAAAGAACCTTATACCCGAAACACTAAGCCCAATCCCTTGAACCCTCAGACCAAAAACCCGAAACCCTAAACCCCAACTAAGTAATTGTATCTTGGTCCTGTATGGACGGTTGCTCTTCTTCTCTAGCTGGGTCTGCAGAATGTGTTGGCCGACGCCGACGAGGTCAAGCAGTTGTGGGGCGAGGGGATTATTGTGTCATCCCAGCTGGTGGTGCAGAAGAATGAGCTCCGGGTGTGTTGTCCAGTTTCGGAAAATGAAGCCGCCAACTGAGACCGACCGCCGGGGGTCGGCCCTGAAGCGGGCTTTTGCGGCCCGCTTCAGGACCGCCGAGAAAAGTTGGCGGTCCTGGAGGGAGAAAATTTTTAAAGAAAAGAAACCGCTCCAGAATGCCGGCCTGAATCCCATCAGGGACTTGGGGTGGCGGACACCAACGGCAAACATGCTGTGCACAACAATCTGCCGTATTCCCAGATTTGAACCCTAAACCCCCAACCCTGATTCCGAAACCCTACTGAAAAGCCTAAATCCCTTTAAACAGGAATCAAAGGAGGCACCCTGTTCCATCATTAAAACCCTGAAATTAACGACAAAGACGTATGATTCAGAGACTCTAAAACCTAAAAACCACATCAAACCATATACCAAACCCTGACGAACCCTTAAAGGAACCTTTCAAGGACCCCTACTAAACCCCTAAACCCCCTAAACCCCCTAAAACCCCTAAACCCCGACACCCTAAAACCTAAACCCCCAAGCCCCTGCAGAATTTCGTAAACGGACCCTTCAAGGAACCTATACTAGCCCCCGAGTCCAAGAAGCTTCCAGGTTGCCTTGCTGCTACGGCACGGGGCCGTGAGCTCGGGCTGAGCATCGGAGCTTCCAAAGACGGAGCGCGCCGGCTTCAAGCAACGAAGGAGCGCCGGCCCGGGGGGGGGGGGGGGGGGGGTCTCGGGGGTTACAAGCTTTTTACAGGGTTTTATATATGAGGAGTATAAGGGCTCTACAACTCCGGGTTTTTATGGGGGTGGGTTCTTTTTGTGGGTTTTCGAAGGAGTTTCTGCTGCTTTTGGCCTCTGAGGTGTGCTATGCTTAAACCGGAATCTTCGATAACATAGAGGGCTAAATAATTGATTACCATTGCTATTTTGTAGGTTCCTTATAAGAATTGCGGTATAGTGGGCCCCAAATTAATTATTAAGGCACCTATCTTCTTTGCGCCCGACACTCCCCCGGTACCCTTAAATTCCAGTTGTTTTGGGGGCTTAGGCTCACGGCGTTCACGGTTACCGGTTGGTTGACGCTGTCTGGCTTGCGGCTAGGAGCGAGCATTTGCCGTGGTCGTTACGGATGTTGGTATTTGGAGCTGTGTGGTTGCTCTTGAGATCATCCCAAGGCAAGCTTCGGCTGCGATGACCGATCTGAAGTGTCTGCTGACGGACTTCCCTAAGCCCTAAACCCCAAACCCCTAAACCGCTAAACCCCTTCTTTAGCTAGCATTGTTTTATTGCGTGCTGGGCGGCTTGGGGAACGTTCTGTTGGGTGGCACTGTTGGTCTGAACCACGATCTCCTGAAACTCTCACAAGGTCTGGATTTAAACTTCAAGGCTTCGGCTTTACTACAGACTGAAGAAATATCAATCGGAAGCCCCTGATGGATAAAGCCCCCTCTTAAAGGTATGAGTCGCAAAGCTGCGGTTGGATCATAAAATCGTGGTTTCTACGGTTTAGGGTGTAGGGTTTAGGGTTTTGGGTTTAGGGTTTAGGGTTTAGGATTTTGAAGCTCTTGTATAACGTTGCTGCTGGGCTGCTTGGTCCGACAGGAGGTCTTCCCCATGGCATCCCCTGGACGACTGGCACCTCGTGCAGCGCCAACAAACGAGATGGGGATGACAGTCCAACCAGGCCTATTTCCTATTCTTTTTGGTACAAGCTGTTGTCTGGAGCGGGAATAGGAGTTCAACAAGTTTTGGATATCGTGGTTCATGAGCCTCGCTTTAGTGCCTATAGTATTTTGGTGGGTTCCTCACTATAAGTATAGTATAAGATACCCAAAACCCTATTCTAACTATTCAGGCCCCTTATATATAGAACCCTATTACAGTTCCCTTGCAGAGCCCTTTTAAGGATCCCTTTGAAGGAACCCTGAAGGATGCCTTTAAAGGGACCCCTGTTCGAAATACTCAGATCCCTATATTTGAACTGTCGGGCTTAGGGGTCCGAGCGGGCTGTGTCAGGGTGCGGTTCGCGCAGGCGAGGGCTAGCGTATAGGGTTTTATGTTGGGGGCCCATTACTCTACTCCTTCTGCTTCGGAACCACCAAAATAGCATTGGTAATTGTTCGGCCCCGAAATTATGGAGTTACTTGCAGATGTTTTGTCTTGATTGAAGCAGCCTTCAACCTAAACCGCAACCTTAAACCTTTCCGGACCTTACAGTCTCAACCCCTTTGACATTGCTCCGCCCAGATCTTAAATCCTCCCCGACAATGGGGAATGGGGTCCCGGGCCATTATTGAACCAATCTGTGGATAATGCTCGAATCCACACGAAACCCTAATTTTCACCTCCTTTACGCGGGGTGATGTGTCTTAACTCGTAGAGTCCTTGGGTAATGCATACACCTACTCCTGAACCCTGAGCCTTACCCTCGAAGTTTCCACAGATCCACAGACAGAGCCACGGTTTAGGGTTTAGGGTTTAGGGTATAAAAGGATGGGCGCTCCTCGCGCGAAGCTCAACAAGCTCGGCTACGGAAACGTCAGCAGCAAGCCCAGGAATCTCGGCTGTTGGAATCACCTACTGCTGTACTCCAGTGACTTCACATGCTTGATGCCGCGCTATTATGTTGCGAGGGGCCAGATTGGAGGCTGCACTCCAAACTCTTCTGCAGCTGAGACATGTTACGGCTGAACCAACTCCGGAGCCCTGCAGAGTCTTTCGGGGACCTCTTGGAGCTTCATGGGTAGCTATAAGGGTTCCTTTGAGGGTCCCTTTAAAGGGATCTATAGGCATTCTATAAGGGTATAGGGTTTGGGGGCCTACTTGGAGGTTCATGGGTAGTTATAAAAGGAGTTATAAGTAGGGCAACTAGAAACTTACAACCCCACTTACAACTACTTGGAGGGTCGGGGGACTTAGCAAGTAGGTAGACTTATACGTACCCTAAATGACCTTATTTGGGGTTATGGTACTTATAAGTCCTTAAAATAGCCAGTTACTAAGTCCCCCGACCCTCCAAGTATCCTCCTAAGTCACGCGACCCTCCCTTTGCTACTCCCCAAAAAATGCGGGAAACATGCGAGAAACCAGATCCCTCAAACCCTAAACCCTGTGGAAACCTAAACAAGCCCTAAATCTTAAAACCCCTAAAACCCTAAGCCCTAAAACCCTCAATCCCTAAACCCTACGTATCATGTCTAAACCCTAAATGCCTGAGCCCTAACTCCCCTAAACCCTAAACCCTAAGTCCCTAAAGGGAACGCCAGAAAGTTGGAATATGGTTTCAGGGTAGGATACCTTATAATTTACCATAAAGGGCTTAGGATAATCATATTCCAACTTTCTGGCTTTTACTTTAAACCCCAAACCCTACAAAATAGTAGGTTATGACCCCTTAATTAGAGGGTAGAACCCTTAAAACGGTAGGGTTTCGGATCCCCAGGTAAGAGCTGTCTGGCTTTTACTTTAAACCCTCTGGAGCCTTCGGGAGGTGTCGCCGAATCTTCAGAAGCGGCTCAGATAAAGGCCTCCCGGAAGGACCGGAGCCTTTCCTACGGTTGATGATATAAATCCTGCATTACCCATTTTAAGGAATATACCATAATTCCCATAGTTTAGGGTCCTTAAGGTAATGCAGGATTTATATCATCAACCGTAGTAGTAGAGTAGGTAACCTTTAACCTTTATAGTTTCCAGAACTCAAGGGTTTCAGAGGACCTGGTAGTACGGTTTAGGGTTTAGGGTAGTAGAGTAGGTAACCTTCAAGGCTTTTTTGGGTAGTATATAGTCCCTATATAACCCTATATAACCAAAAAGGTTAACCTTTAGTTCTCCATGATACCCGACAAGTAGGAGGAAGGACCGGACCCTTTCCGGGACCTTCGGTGCATTGTGGCGGTTTGTAGTGATGTCGGGGTTTAGGGGCCTAGGGTTTAGGGGTTTGCGGTTTAGGTCTTTAGGGGTTTAGGGTTTAGGATTTAGGGTTAAGGGTTTAGGTTTTAGTTTTTAGGGAGGGTCTGTAACTGAGTTTATAGTACATAATTTAGAAGGATTTCAGGATTGATAGGTTTGCAATAAGGACTCTATCGGTGCTTGCATAAAGGGAAGGTTCGCTTCCCCATCCGGGTCCTAGAGAGCCTTGAAGATATTTCTTGCAAGGCTGAGGGCGGGTGTTGAAACTATATAGGCGGGGGTCTTGCCCTTTCTAGTTTGGGGGCTCCTTATCAAAATGGACTGCTAGGAAACGGGTGCCCTTATCATTCCGGGCCACTGGGAAACCCAAGTAACTTAAAAGTAGCGCAGGTAACCTTTAACCTTTTTGGGGGTATTATAGCCCTTATATAATCCCACAAGTTAACCCTAAGTTCCCATGGGACACTGGAGAAGTAAGTTAGGGAATATACCTTTTCAAAGGCACCTATACTCTAATGTCTATTCCTTAATGGAAGGCAATACAACCCTTACAAAATTAACGAAACAAAAGTATTCTACGATGTAAGGTATCTTCCCTTATTCAAGGGCCCCTTGGGATCTTTGGGTGGCAAGTGCAGGACTCGGTGCCGGCGCGCGTGGCATGCCTCACAGCGCGCTGCTGCGGCAAAAAAGAGCTTATGGGGTTTAGGGTTTCAGGGTTTGGGGTCTAGGGTTTTAGGGTTTGCTTAGGGTTTTAGGGTACGGTTTAGGGTTTCAGTTTCAGGGTTTGGGGTGTTAGGGTTTAGGGCTTCAGGGTGTTAGGGTGTCAGAGTCTCACAGTGCACATGCGAATATTGGCGAGCTTCGGGATCGCAGTACTTGAAAGTTCTCAGGTTCTTCTGGGGTTCAGGTTCCCTTAGAAGCCCAACTTTAAACCAAAAAGGGCACCCTTTTTTATTCCTAGGTTACTCTTGGGTCTAGTCTAAGTGGGGTTTAAATCTGGTTGCCCTACTTAGAACCCTACTTAAAACTAGCCATGAACATCCAAGTATCGTGCCAGGTAGAAATGCTGTGTCGGCCTTTGCAGCTCTAGTTTGTGCTGCTCCACTGTTCTTGGCTTAGGGTTCGTTTGCCGCTTTACTTGAAGCTTCATGGGTGGTTATAAGTAAGGTTATAATTAATTGGGGTAACTGTACTTATAACCCATATTATGGGACTTATAACCCTACTTACAACTACCCATGAACCTCTAAGTAGGCCCTAAACCCTTTGCCCTTATAGAAACCCTATAGATCCGTTTAAGGGGATCGTTAAAGGAACCCTTATTCCAAGTATGGTTGCCCCAGGTCGCGCCGAGGAGGCAGCTTAGACAATCTCAACTTCGCCGCCGGCACGAGAAACAAGGCAATCAAAAGCTGGAGCCAAAATTGCCCACATCACCCTAGAACCTTGAACCCCTTAACCCTAAGCCCTAAAGCTTTAACCCTAAGCCCTAAGCCTTAAACCCTGAGCCCAGCAGATCCCCAAGTACAACCCAGATTCCCATCTTCTGTCTGGTGTTTGCTAGGGAATCGGTCCCTACAGCAAACCCTAGATAATCTCAACAAGAGTCTCCATAATCCATTCCCCCATTCCCTAATAAGAACCAGGCAGCCTACTAAGAACCCTAAACCCCTATAGTACAACCCATTTAGTCCGACCCTTATAGTAACCCTCAAAGGAACCCTATTCCACTTGGAGGGTCGGGGGACTTAGTAACTGGTAAAAATATAGGACTTATAAGTACCATAACCCCAATTAGGGTCCCGATAGGGTAGTTATAAGTCTACTTACAGACAGGTAGTAAGTAGACTTATAAGTACCCTAAAAGGGGACACTAATTGGGGTTATGGTACTTATAAGTCCCTAAAATAACCAGTTACTAGGTCCCCCGACCCTCCAAGTAACTTCTAAACCCCAAACCCTAAACCCTCTACCCTTATAGACTCCCTATAGATCCCTTTAAAGGGGCCCTTCAGGAATCCATTATGTTATTAAGTCCCCCGGACCGTACAAGTACTAAGAGCCAGACAGTCTTGCCGACTTGGCGCCTGCAGCTGTTCCGGCGCTTCAGACATGAGCCTGGCAAGTGAATGCAACCGCTTAGACACACAAGCCCAACGTGTATACATGCATACATATATGCAAATATATAAATATATGTGTGTATATACAGATGTACGTATACATACATGTATGTATATATATATATATATATATATATATATGTATATTTAGGTGTGTGTGTATATATATATATATATATATATGTGTAGGCACACGTCCCAGACCCGGAACCCTGATTGCTAAGCCGCAGCCAAGTGACCGAACCCGCACGCCCAACACATGCCAAACCCCGAAGCGTCAACAGTCCCAGAGCCTCCAAAACTCCTTAATTAAGGAGTCTACCTGAAATTATGATAGGAGCCCTAATGTGATTTGAGGTATATATTCCTTAATTAAAGGGTTTTGGAGGCTCTTGGGTCTTCAGCCGGGGAGACGCAGCCCTGGACACTACACTCTGATCCACTCGAACAGACTAAACACAAACATGGCCTAACTAACCCTCGCCCCAAACCCCGAACCCGAAACCCCTAAAACCCTAAACCCTAAACAAACCCAACCCCCGAACCCTAAACCCTAAACCCTAAAACCTAAACCCCTAAACTCCTAAACCCCGACCCCAGAACTCTAAAACCACGAATGCAAAGCCCCTAGCATCCCTATCAGCGGGGGAGCTGCAGCCCCGGCTTCAAGAAAGGCGCTTTGCGAGGGTTTAGGGTTTAGGGTTACTTTCGGTGAGGGCACCGTTAGACTTAGAGGGATCCATAAGGGCTCTATAAGGGGTTGGTTCCACAAAGGTCTTCCGATGCTTTTGGGCTTAGGGGGTAAAGGAGTTAAAGGGTTTATGGACTTCGGATTTAGGGTTTTAGGGTTTAGGGTTCAGGGGGGGGTTCAAGGTTTGTAATTTAGGGAAGGGTTTAGGGGTTTAGGCGTACGTTTTGGATTTAGAGTTTAGAGGGAATAGGGCTTCGAGAGTTATGGTTTTGGAAAGTTTCCGGTAGAGGTAGGGGCTCTATACAAGGCCCTAATACGCTGACAATCAGAGTTAGTAGCATACCCGAACGCTAAAGCATGGCCCTAGACACGACCGTGGTCGGGTCTAAGGTGTGGGACACGCACGTGTCACCGCACCCCAACTTCAGTTCAAAGTTCATAGGGTAAGACCGGGTAACGAGTATGAAGACTTTAAAACCCTTTAAATCACCAATGGGCCGAAGAAGCAGTTCCGGATTGGCTGCTACTAGAAGCTGAAGGTTTGGGGGGACGAGGGTGGGGGCGTGGGTAAACTGGCTGGGTTTAGGGGCTTAGGAGTTCGTGATATAGCGGCCCGAAGACATCGCAATACTAGAAACCCTGCAAACGGCAAGCATTATCAAGGCCCCTTTGTTGGGATTCCAACAACCCAACCGACGCCAACGATGCGTGGGGGGGTCCTAGTTCGTGTTGCCCTATCTTGTTTCCTCTTCCGCACAGAAGGTGCTTGTCAGCTTGGACTGCGTCCCCTGACCCTACATTGAGCTCTTTCGGGTAATATGAGGGTTTGGATTTTACGGAAGGGTTTCAGTACAAGGGTTACTATACAGGCTTGATATATAGGGGCCTTACTCATTAATATTGCACAACACGTTAGTCCGAACCCTACTTGGAGGGTCGAGGGACTTAGTAAGTAGGTAGTAGGTAGACTTATAAGTACCCTAAAAGGGACCCTATTTGGGGTTATGGTACTTATAAGCCCCTAAAATAACCAGTTACTAAGTCCCCCGACCCTCCAAGTAGTCTGTGTTTGGAACCGCAGTTCCTTACACGACTCCCACACAACGAAGATAGGGCTTCCCCAGGACGGTGGAGCTTACTTGGAGGGTCGGGGGACTTAGTAACTGGTTATTTTAGGGACTTATAAGTACCATAACCCCAATTAGGGTCCCTTCCAGGGCACTTATAAGTCTACTTACTACCGACTTGCTAAGTCCCCCGACCCTCCAAGTACTCTTATGAGTTATTGGGCTTCTTGCTTGGAGGTTGTCTTGGTAGATATGAGTGGGGCTATATGTCGCCTGATCGGGATTATAGCTAGTTGCCCAACTCATACCGCAACTTGTATCTAGCCATGAACCTTAGTCAACAAAAGCGTATTTTATGTTTAAGTGCCATCTGTAGGTTATCAAATATCTGTGAGTTGCGCCACTTTTAGCCCTAGTCTCCAAGTCCACCACCTAGAGGCATGCAGTTCTTGACAGATCTCAAGAAGGCGGGCCCTTGATGGGCTTCATAGCGCTCTATGAGGGGTATGGTACGACGGTATACCTGGCAGGTGTATGGGGCTTTAGTGGGCTTTATGTGGGGATTTATAGGGTCTGCTTACGCGGTTTTGTCGCTGTGGTTTAGGATGTGTAGGTTAGGTAGTTTCGTGAGGCGCATGATCCGGTAGGGCGACGGGACGTTAACCCGGTAGCACCCTCTTCCACTTCCATTTTGCAATCTAGTGCCTTGAAGCTGCGATCAGTATCGGCTCTTAGAGAATCCCTAGGGGTTCCTTACTATAATTATCGCTGAAGGTCCCCCATAACCCTATTCTAATTATTAAGGCCCCTATATAAGTGTATATCGAACAGCCTTTTTGGAAGCTCTGTCAGAAGCCCTTGCATGCTTGGGAAAGAGGGTTTTGTCGGTTGTTGATTGCGGTCGGTGAATTCTGTTGAAAGGTGCCTGTGCTGTGGATACCGTCGGCAGCACGATGGTTTTTGATGACACAGTCGGCATTTTCGCCGTTGGTGAGTAGTGCTTCGTCTTTGCGTTCTAGTTGTTTTGCGGCTTCTCGAGGTTTCAGCACAACATTGCGTGCTCGGCCAACTCACTCCGCCGTAAACCCCCTAAACCCCACATCACCATGCGGCTTTGCTTTCCCGAGACTTGCTGGAAAAAGGCCGGCAGTAGCTCTCTAAACTAGGCAGAATCATGGAGACCCCATTAACAGAGACCCTTCTTGACCCTACTTATGGCTCCATTAGAAGGAACTTTACTGAGAGGGTCTATATCCGCAAGGTTCCCCCTAATCCTAAGTCCTACTCTAAGGATTCGTTGCCATGGCCGGCGCCCTTGAATCTTAAGAGTTTAGGGGATCAGGGGTTTAGGTGTAGGGGTTTAGGGTGTAGGGTTTAGGTTAGGGTTTAGGGATTCAGGTGTAGGGGTTTAGGGTTTAGAGTTCTTAAGCTGCAGCTTTGTAGAGTAGAAATCAGTGGTAATAGGGCAATAACAATGCAGCACTGGAGAAGACATGTATTTACAGCTAATGAAACAAACAGGGATACATGCCAAGCTCATCTTCGCCGGGCGTTTTTTTCCAGAACGACTCGGCCAAGCTGCAGGATTTCTGGCTGTGGTCTGGAGCCATACTTGGACATTTGCAAACTCCCAGTTTGCACATATCCAAGTAAACCTCCTGAACCGCCACGAGGCGCGCGGTGGCACTGGACTCCATGGCACTCCTGCGGAAACAGTGTCTGACCTGCAGGCGTCAGCCGCTGCTGCCAGAAGAGCAGCCGCGCTGAGCTTTCTGTGCGTGGGGGTTCGTGCTGAACTTACCAGCGAGGCAAGTCTCTGGCGAGGTTTTAATGAACGAAGGGGAGGATGGAGCGACCTGCTGGACCCACAAGAAGTTTACTGCAGGTACCTGCAAAGGAATTCAGTCGAGCAAACCAAGGGCCAGCAAACATTAACAGTAAGTTCAGCAAGCGTTGACACTAATTGTAACAGTGGCAGAAAAGTTAATAACAAGAACAAGAATTGTGGCAGTAAGATCAGGAATGTAGCATAAACGACAACAGCCACATTTACAATGGTAGTAGTGTGTAACCTCGTATATCGCAACATGTTCGCCGCCACGAAGGCAGCCAAGGGAGAGCGCGAGGAGGAGGCAATTGAATGGGAGTTGAGATCTGTTGAGGGCCTAGTGCTACCTAAGCAAGGCTTTCATGATCACTGGTAGGGGAGGTGTCTGGATTCTTGAGTTTCTGTTTTCTGCTCCTTGTTTCAGCAGGACTCAGTCAAGAACTACTTGTAGCTCTTTGTCAGACTGTAGCTGTAGCCTGCAGTTTACCAATAGAGGCTTACACGTACTGGCATTGTCATTTCCCACTTGGCGAGGCTGGTAGCTTGTGCTGACGAACCCGCATGTCAAGATCTTTTTTCGAGCTTCCCAACAAGGCTTTCTATCAGAGTAGGCTGTTTTCAGAACCGAAAACTTTGAGTGCAACTCCCTGCCGCACTTACATGGCAATGAGCCAGTCACCTGCATGAGTCGATAGAGCTATGCCGACCTGCATCGCTTTGTTATGGCACCCTCAATCTCAAAATGTTCTGGAGAACGTAGGCGGCGATGTTCAGGGCTTCAGGAAAAGAGCTAAACCCACTCTAAACTGACCTTCTATCAGAAAGACGCATGAGCCGCATGGTGTTTACCACCATTTTAAGCTTAGGGCCGTAGAATTTACAATAGATTTTGGCGCAAAGCCCGCTACATAATCTCATAATAGTAAGCCCTTCATATACTCCAGCCCTTTGCAAGCTACTGCCAGCCCGTGGAATGCTATTCAAACCCTACTATCATCGCCCTGGTATGACATACCCCAAAGGCCTATTCCAATTGTTTCGGCCCCTGCGCTACATCATTGTATCCGACCTTTGACCTTGGATCACTCAAAGGAGAAGAGCCCCGGAAGCTTGACGAACTCTTAGACAAGTGACAGACCGTTCATAGGAGGCCAAAAGGGGTTTTAGCCTATGGGGGTTTAGTAGGGCTTAGGGTTCCCATAATAGGGTTCATATTAATGAGTCCCTACCCCAAGAATCTTAAGCCCCCCTTTTGGCCTCCCATCAACCGTCTTGTCCCCACTATCTGCCAGTTCTCCTTCGACGACGATGGCGAGAAAGGCTTCTCACGGGGCTCTTCGGCAATCGGGATTCCTCCTGTGTACCGAGGTTTCGAAGGGTTCGGTAGGATTCGTATCGATTCGTTTCAGAGTTCACTTTCCATACATGGATTATGTTGATACCTTTGCAGAGTGTAGGATACTGTAACCAATGCGTAACTTTTCAAAAAATCAGGGGCTTCCCCAAGAGAAACCCTGAAGGCTCCAATAATCTAACAGCTTAACCAACTACATGCCCCAAACCGGACCTCCGATTGGTGGAAGCCTGCATATGACGCTGGTTCAAACATCCTAAGGATAGGAACCAGGCCCGCGAGACCACTTAGGTTTTCAAGATATTTTGGGGACTTTGGATTTAAGGCTTCGGGGGCCAGCGGTCTAGGGCGTTCAGGGGCATTCAGACAGAGATACTTAGTTGCTAGTGCTGAAGGGGGGGGGTTGTCATAAATGAGAGTCCCGTAGAACCTGATTTGGCCGCAGGGGGACGGATAGTTCAGTTGCGGCAGGCAAGACGGACAAATGGCTGGAAAAGATCAACCACATGTCCAAGCTGCGCGGCTGCAGACATCGGTTTTTTGTGGTCTTCGCATGTACTTCGTTGATTTTGAGCAAGAGTGTTGTAGGCTGTCGAACATGGTGAAACATAAGCCCTGACTGGTGACCTCTAACCCCTCCCAATATTCTAAATCTGCACATCTCCTCAAAAAGACCCGAAATGCCTGAACCCCAAGCCCTGAATGGTGGCCGAAAGCCTGAAAGAGTTTTCGTAGCAATGTACCCATAGTAGCCCTGCTGACGAGGCCTTTGGGGTTTTAGTAATTCAGGGTTGGAAGCCCGTCAGACAAGTACGTAAGTGCTTTAGACCTTCGGACTGCAGCGCTTTGGGGTTTTGGAGCTCAGGGTGTTTGGACGTTGGATCTACGGCTCTACAGGGTCTAAGGCCTCTGTGTCTTGTCTTAGGGGTATCTTGGGTTTAAAGGTGACTTGCACCTGCATCCGTGCAAACACAGCCGCTACAACAGCAACGAACACGAGGACGGCAACCACGATCACGACTACAACAACAACTACTACTACTACTACTACTGCTACTACTACTACTACTACTGCTACTGCTACTGCTACTGCTACTGCTACTACTACTACTACTACTACTACTACTACTACTACTACTACTACTACTACTACTACTACTACTACTACTACTACTACTACTACTACTACTGCTACTACTACTACTACTACTACTACTACTACTACTACTACTACTACTACTACTACTACTACTACTACTACTACTACTACTACTACCTACTTCACACCCACAACTCACTACTCACTACTTACTACTTTCTTCTTGCTGCTTGCTACGGTCCCTAATTTGGGACCCTCTACTATTGAAAGGCAAAGGACCTATATAGGAAGCCCCTTAAGGGATCTACTTTTTAGATCCTTCCCGCAGTCTGGGTTACTGCAAACTTACTACGCACTTCGCAACTTCATGACTACTACTTCATAATACTTACTTATTCCCACGACGACGACGACGAGAATTACCACTACCATTGCTACCGCCCTACACTGTAAACCTAAACCCCAAACCCCAGACCCTAAGCCCTAAACATCCCTAAACCCTAAAGCCTGGGTTGCGAGTACCATACTTGAATTCCTTTCTTGGGTACCTGTTCCTTAAAGGAACCATTATGAAATAAAAGTCTATACTTTTTCCTCCTGGGCCACTTCAAAGCCCAGAAAGCGTCTCGGCCTAGGAGAGTTCAATCAGCACCTGCTGCAGCAAAAGAGTCCCAGCCCCAGCCTCCCAGATGCTCGCCTTGCAGCACCCGAAGGTTTAGGGTTCCTTTAAGGGAACCATAATATGAGAGCTAGTGGCTTTTGGGATCTTAAAGAGTTCTATAAGGATTGCTATAAGTAAGGGGTCCTAATGAGAGCTGGTGGTTTAGGGATCTTCAAGACTTCTATAAGGACTGCAACAAGGGGTACTTTAATGTAGGGGCCTTATAATAATTACCTATACTATTTTGGTGGCTCCTGATTATAATGATACTAGGCTCCACAACCCTATTCTTAGTTGGAGGGTCGGGGGACTTAGCGAGTAGATAGTAAGTCTAAGTAGACTTACACGTACCTTAAAACTGGATCCTAATTCGCGTTATGCTATTTATAAGTCTATAGCCGAAATCTTAGGCTTTAGGGTTCCTTTAAGGTAACTATAAGAGCGAGAGGGGGATTTTGTGGTTTAAGGTCTAGGGCTCAGGGGGGTTAAGGGTTTAGGATTTAGGGCTGGGGTTTAGAGGGGTCTAGGGGGGTTTAGGGGTTTAGTAAAGGGTTCCTTTCTTTTATTGCTCTTCGTAAGTATGTTTCATTTTCTTATGACATAGCTTGCGGGGATGAATAAGAATATCAATCATATTCTGCTTTTTAAGGGCGGCTAAGTTTAGAGGAACCATAAGGGTTCCTATTCGGGATCTATTAGGTACTATAGGGATTTATGGTTCGGGGGCGGTTTAGGGTTTCCAGGGTCGTCAAGAGCTTGCAAAGACTGAAGGCAATCTTTGAAGGGAGTCATGCGATGAAGGTTTGGAGCTTAGAGCTTCGAGTTTCAAGCTTGCGAGCCTTATGAGGCCCTATGTTTTGGGAGGTTTCTGGAGTCATTGGTTTAGGTATACATGCTATACTACTATAATACACTTTTATTAAACTCTAATATTTGATACTTTACCTTGGATTTCGTTGGATGGTCCAACAGCTTGGGGCTCAGGATTTGAAGTTCACCGTCTTCCCTGAAGACGTTTACGAAGCTACCAAGCCCATCCAATATCCAGCCGAATCTAACCTAAGCTAATCAGTACCATGGGATTTCCACCCGGCTGAGTGCTTTATCTGAAGAATGCAAAGAGGGAGAAGCTAGCAATGAAAACTGGGCGAAGTGGCACTCCGTCGGAAGGACGACGACGACGGAGGAGCCAGCGATGGCAGGGGCCCTTCACAGGGCAGATCAAGTCCGAACAGAACCGATGCGAGGAGAAGGACGAAAAGTCCGAAGAAAGCAGCTAATGGAAAGGGAAAGCTTCCAGGCGCTTCAGATCCCAGTATCGCCGTCTAGAAAGACGGCGCTGTAGAGGGAGGCAGAGGCAAAGGGGTTCCTCTGCACCTGCGAGCACGGGAGACCTACATGACAAAAAGCCAGAACTGTCACACAGCCATCCTTCGATGGTAAAGTAAAACCCTCGGTGAGGGTGAGAGCTACAATCAGTGAAAGCACAGAAATCTGTGCTCGCAAGTGAAAACCCACAAACCCAATCTTAAAGTCTTAAAGCCTTGATCCCCGAACCCATAAGCCCTCTACCCCCTTCTCTGCCACCATCAAGCCCTTCAGCATCCTGAAGGACCCAACAACCAAGGCGCAGAGACTTGCAAAGCCCCAAAACCAAATCCTCAAACTTCTCGGTTGAAGATTTTTTATCGAGGCCTTACTTGAAGGGTCGGGGGACTTAGTAACTGGTTATTTTAGGGACTTATGAGTATCATAACCCCCTTTCAGGGTACTTTATAGGTTTACTTACTACCTACGTACTGCGTCCCCCGACGCTCCAAGTAGAATCCTTGGCACACTTACCATAAACCCTTAACCCCAAACCCTTGAATCAAATCCTCATGACAAACCTAAAGCCGAAACCCTAAGCCTCTAAGCTCCTTATGGCACCCTTGAAAACCCTCAACCCTATTTAACATGGAAGCCAATGTTATTCCTCAGGGCTCCTTATTTTCATCATACCGTGAAGGGGCCCAAAGCCCTGTTTCAGCTATTAAGGCCCCTGCATTACCCTTGCCGTAGACCCGAAAGCCTTAAACCCTGAACCACCCCACTTATAACTACCCATGAACCTCCAAGTAGGCCCTAAACCCTATAGCATAGCCTTATAGAGTGACTATAGATCCCTTCAAAGGGACCCTTAAAGGAACCCTAATAGCTACCCATGAACCTCCAAGCAAGCCCTTCGGAGGAAGCTGCAGAAGATGCGTGAGCCCAAGGACGAGGCCAAAGCAGCGCCCGGAGCCCCGGCGTGACCAGGACCCTAAATAAGGACCCCTAGGTATATGCCCTTAATATAGCTATTATATACCCATTATAATAGCCCATTATAGGGTAGGGGTCCTCCTTAAGGGTCCCTCCTTTTCCCCTTTGATTAATTGGGGTTATGGTACTGATAAGTCCCTAAAATAGCCGGTCCAGCCTTGTCCTTTTTCATGGCTCCCCCAAAAGAATAAGCAGACCGGCTAGTAGACCTTCTTAAATAATTCATATTAAGGGATATAGGGCTCTAGGGCTCTGTCAATTATTTCTAAAAGGACAAGGGTGGTCGTGACAGAGTGCAGGGTTTTGAGCCTTGGGGTTTTGAGTTGTTAAGGTTTGGCATGCTAGAGTTTAGGGTTTAAGGGTCTAGGGCTTGTAGAGTTTATGGTTCATGCTTTACGGTTTAAGGGATTTTGGGGTTTAGTCTTTAGGGGGCTTGGGGTCCTGGGTTAGCACAGTTCCTTCATGTACCTGTTCGACTCTGGCAGGATGTACTCCGAAACAGAAAGGCTGCTATTTTACGTCAATAATTCTTGGGGTCTGACAGGTGTTCAAAGAGAGGTATGTGGTTTGACGGTGAAGGTTCTATACTACGATACAGTGTAATTTAAGCGGGTTGTAGGCTTTTGTAGGCTTAGTAGGGGCTTTAAGCTTCGTCGTCTTCGGCGGCGGTGGGACCCGGCGATTTCGTTGGGATGCCCCCAAAACCCACAGCATAATCCGCCCCGAGTCCTTCGGAGCCCCACTTGGAGGGTCGGGGGACTTAGTAAGTAGGTAGCAAGTAGACTTATCAGTACCCTAAAATCCCTAAAAGGGACCTTAATTGGGGTTATGGTACTTCTAAGTCCAAGCAAGCCTAAATCTGGACCGCAGGGGAGCCCTTTGATCGGCATAATCTGTCTGGCTCTTTGGATTACTATGGTTAGGGACCAAAAAAACGCACATAAGCATAAGCATTTTATGGGGATATCCCGACCTTATTGGGCTTCAATATAGGGGGGTTTATATGGGACATCCCTATGCTTATTTTTGCTTATGTGCTTTTTTGGGGCCCTATATGGGGGATTATATAGGGACTACTATAGGGATCCATTCCCTCATTCCCTACTAAGCACCAGAAAGTAATTCGGAAGCTCGAAGATGGCATCACGAAAGTGGTCTACACAGCCTCAAGTGCGGAGGATGCCTCAAAGCGAAGATGGACAGTTTGCGAACTTTGTTTTGGGGCTTTTCAAGAAGGCATCCCGATGCGGCTGTGCAGGGCTCTACCACCGCACCAGTCATGAGGCCGGTCCCGGAAGCTTGGCATGATTGCCAGATGGAAGAGTGCTCAACAAAATGGGAGTTTCCAAAAACAGGGGATCTAATATAGCACCCTAAATCGTAGGATCCTCATCACAAGGACAGCAAAATAAGGTACCCTCAGTTTTCAGAAACTCACGAACAAAGTTCGTTTATTCTTAGTCTGAAGAGGCGAGCAGGAGGCCTTCATGAGATGCTCACTGGCGGCGTGCCCTCAATGCTACACTAGGAACCATGAAGAAACTTTGAGCCTTTATTAGGGTGCCTTATGTGCATCCTACCACGTTGGGGTTATAGGCCCAGGGTTTCTTAATAAGGATCCTTTGGATGCTGCCACCACACAGTAACAGTTGGATAATATTCACAATATGGCTATATGAGGCCCTTAATAGTAGCCCCATTATAGACTGTTACTGTATGGGGGCGGCCAGATCGGATCGGGTCAGTTGAATCGCGGGTCCTGGGAGCTGGGAGGTTCTGTGCTTGCAGGGTCGCCGGATTTAGTAACTGTTTATTTTAGGGACGTTTAAGTACCACAACCCCAATTAGGGTCACTTCTAGGGCACTTGTAAGTTTACTTACTACCTACTTACTTAGTCCCCCGACCCTCCAAGTGTTGGTGCGGTTCTGAGAAGCATGGGGAAGAGGCGAGTTCTCATTGAGAAACCCAAATATACACCAGTTCTCCAAATTGTGGATTTTAGGGTCCTGCTTATGAGGTGCAGTACTAGTTTAGTTTGGTGACCTGAAAAGGGACCCTAATCCAGAGTATTAAAGGGAGTATGATAGGGGGGGGCCCAAAATAGGGGTTTAGCTCCTTAATCTTACAAGCCTACTTAACTCTTTTTGTACCCTTATGGACACCCTGCAAAACCTTTAAGAGCCTCACTTACCATTACCAAGTCCCATGATCCTCCTAAACCCCAAGCCCTAAAATAGTACCCTTATAAATCCCTTAGCTTTACACCTACTCTCACACTAATCCTATAGAACTCTGATAGTGCCTTTATAGCTCCCGTATCAAACCGCCTCAAGTACCACAAGGTATTTCGAGGAGGCGAAGCAGGAGTCGGCGAAGTCAGCTGCCTGGTGGTCAGGCCGGGGTGTTGGGTTTATTAGGGACGCAAAAAGAACATAAGCATAAGCTTTGTATAGGGATATCCCTACCTTATTGGGCTTCATTTTCCGGTGGTTTATATGGGATATCCCTATCCTAATTTGTGCTGATGTGCTTTTTAGTGCTTTAGGGTTTCCTTCACGGTTTCCTAGCTTGAGGGGGTTCCTTTAGGGTTTAGGGCTTCTGCTGTTTAGGGTTTTGGGATTCAGCGTCTTGGGGACGGGGATTCTGAAGGGTAGCGTCCTTACGGCTCTACATGGGGAGTGAGGAAAGCACGTGAAGAAACTATCAGCAAAAGGCCATCCAAGACCAGTATCCGCAGCAGTCGGATTCAGAAAAATGTATTTTACAAATTGCAAAAGTCAAGCCTCGAGGAGTTGGATCACCGGAGCCACACCCGTCCAGCAAGCCCCCACACCTTGAGCGATTTATGGGGTTTAGGGCTCAGTGCTTCCGACAAGCCTCAACATCTTCAGCATTTGTTGGTCTGGTCGTTGGAACTTGAGCCCCCATGCCTGAACCTCAGCAAGGAGCTGTGCTTGCACAAACACATTCCAAATGCGCAGCTTAGTTGTAATGAGGCACTATCGATTTATCTAAAACCCTTCCTGTCTATATATATATATATATATATATATACACGGTATGTGTATACTTTTTTGTATTTACAGGCGATAAAAAGTTCATCTTCCGGTCTTTGTACTTGTCGTGAGTATTTAGGGTTAGAGATGCTATTCCTCGTCATCCTGGGTTTGGAGCACCATACTTGAACACTTTTTGGGGGTAACTGTTCCTGAAAGGAACCATTCTGAAATAAAAGTCTATACCTTTTTCTCCTTGCTTTCTTCAAAGTGCAGAGGGAGCTTAACCTTCGAGCCTAGGGCTTTCTAAAGATCGCCAAGGGGTTGGCCCCAAATTAGGGGGATCTACTTTCTTGATCCTCCCGGGGGTCTGGAATCTGATGGCAGCCTGGAGGTTGCGATCCACAGCAGGATCCCGACTTCAAGAAGGACTCAGCGAGGGGTCTTGGTATATACTCTATTAGGCGTCTGAAACATTAGGTTCCTTATTATAGATTTTGTATGATAGGAAAAAAACCCTATTCTAATTATCAAGGCCCCTATAGTACCTTAGGGTTTGAGGTCTAGGGTTTCAGTCATACAACAAGACCCCGACTTCAAGAAGGACTCAGCGAGCCCAACAACCCTTAATCCTTAATTAAAGAATAGGCCGTCAATCATAATATGAAGGTCCCTTCCGTCATTCTAGACTTCAAGAAGGAGCGTAGCTAAAGCACAGACCCCCTAATTGCAAACCCGATACTACTAAAGTGTGTTTTATAGGAAGCCCTGACAGGATCTACTTTTCGGGTTCTGAAAAGTTGAAGAATGTAAGTATTGTAGGCTGCTTCTACAATTGAACCGAAACTATGTTACTTGCACGAAGCCCTACGCCCCAAACCGCCAAAGTGCCGTAGGCCTTTTTAAGAAGCTACGGTACTTACACGGCAGAGCCAATCTTTGGGTTGTGGCAAGTCTGCCCTTTGGAGAGTCGGGAATTAATTAGGGTTTAGGTAACTCAGTGGTTGGGCAAGAGTTTGTAGCTGTCGCAAGAAACGCTGGGATTTTGAAAAGCGCAGGACTTCAGGGATTTCAGGCTTCATGGAGATGCTTTCCGAGAACTTGCAGCAAATCGAAGGGGTTACACACGGCGCGAACTTCCTTCTTCTGCTTACGGAACCCATGCTCGAGTCTTTAGTTGGCATCCTGATTTCCGGCCACTCTCAGCCGCATTACAGTAGTTCAAAGAGCACACGTTAACATCATCATCAGCTGCGCCGCCATCACACCAGTCCTTTACGTCCTACTTCAGGAGAAAACAGAGAACCAGACGAAAAGGTGATGACTGAACTGCACGCACCAATCGTTTCGCGACACCTGCCATGAGAGGGACAATGCTCAGGTTCCAACTTTAGAGTGGCTTCTGTGATTACATGCATAGTCAGCAATACACTGTAAACCGCACGAATGTCACATTCATCATCAACTGCACCACCAAGATCCTCCTGGAAAGTCGCGATTGTACCTTGAAGGGTCGTGGCACTTAGTAACTTAGTAACTAGGGCTATAAATTTATAAATACGTTGTAACCACAAATGAGTAACGTAATATAGGGCCTGAATAATTACCAAGACTAATTTGGGGTTTCCTTTTTATGATTATGGTACCCCCCCCTATAGTATAAGCTTACGTACTAAGTCCCATGATACCCAAAGTAGAAGATCTCAGACAGAAGAGCCTAAACCCTCGACAGCCAACGCACCCTGAGCCCATAAACCAAAAAAAACTGAACTAAACCCATGGAGCCCGAAGCACTAAACCCTTAGAGCTTAGTAGCTGAGTGGATACGCCTTACACTTTTTGGGAAAATGTTGACCCCTATGAAACTGAGAGTGTACACTATGAACTCAGCAACTGAGAGAGTCCTAAGTGTGGAACCCAAAACCCTAAACCCTAAACCCTAAACCCGGCTACTGCACATTAAAAAAAAACCTAAACCCTTAAACCCCTGAACCCTAAACCCTAAACCCTAAACCCTTAAACCCCTGAACCCTAAGCCCCCAACCCGACGATGCCCCTCAACCCGGTACCTTCCCAAGATCCGGAGGATTGGAGCCGATCTGTACAGCTCTCGGCTTTGGGTTCAGGGTTTAGTATTAGGGTTTAGAGGTTTAGGGGTTAGGGGTTTAGGGGTTCAGGGTTTAGGGGTTCAGGGTTTAGTATTTAGGGGTTTAGGGTTAGGGAGCTCTACTTTGACCAAAGGGCTGTCTAAAGATTGCAAAGGGGTTGTGTAGCATGCCTGCAGTGGCTTTGTAGGGTACAACGTCAGTGTAACCTTAGTGTGGATCCCTGCATATCTTTGCCTATAAATTCAAGGGTGGGGGGCTTGTGGAACCGGGGTCTACATTACCCAACCTATGCAAGGCTTTGCGAAGGCAGCGTGCCCACATGCGGAAGCCGCGCAATATGTAATGCCACAAAACAATGGCAAACAAACACTAGCGTGACTGTAGTTTTATCCAATATTAGGGGACTTATAACCCCACGTGTAACCACCCATGAACCTTCCAGTACAAAAAAGGAAAATGCACAGGTTACATATACATATCTGTATATGCATGCATATATATATATACATACATATATATATATAGCCTCTAACTGCGCCCAGGCTTTCTCGGTGAAAGCCTGCAAGCCTTGCTTTGGGCGTCCCAAGTCCGCCATTGCAGATCAAAGACGTTGCAAATATCGGAAACACTGGTAGTAGAGTAGGTAACCTTGAACAACTTGTCTTAAGAATATAGCCAAAGAGCTTAACCTTCAGTTCGCCATGATACCCGACAAGTAGGAAACTGGTCAAGCCAACCTCGTCTCTGCGTTCGGTGGCCTCAAAACCCACTTGGGCTACAGAAACCTTGGAGCCTTAAGCCCTGAAAACCTTGGCACCTCAGAAACCTGCGACTCAAAAAGCCTAACCTCTAAAGCCCCAGGAACATAAAAACCCTAAAAACTCAAAGCTAAAAGCCGAAAAACCTGAAATCCTTAAAACCCTAAAAACCCTAAAACCCAGGAACCCCAGAACCCTAAAAACCCTAAAAGTCTTAAAACCCTAAAAGCCCTAAACCATGCCCAGAGAGCCCAATACCCCTTAATTAAGGAATATGGCTTAAATTATATAGGGCTTCATATTATGATTTAAGGTATATTCCTTAATTAGGCTGGTTATTTTAAGGACTTATAAGTATCATAACCCCTATTAGGGTCCCTTTTAGGGTACTTATAAGTCTACCTACTACCTACTTGCTAAGTCGGGTATTGGGCTCTCTGGGTGAAAGCCCCCAAGTCGAGAAAAGGCCTCCTCGGAGACCATCCAAAGCCACGCCAATGGCGACGACGTCTCCTCGAATGACCGCTGAGGGGCTTTTGGGTTTAGGTTTAGGGTTTAGGGTTTAGGGTACTCTTAAAACATATTATTTCGGGACCAAGGGTTCCTTTAGAGGGCGCTTAAGGGTTTATGGCAGTGGTTTAGAGGTTTAGGGGTGTGGAGGTTAGGGTTATGTGCTGTTTTGGGGCCCTGTTATCATTTGAGGGGCCTCATAAGGGACTTAGGGTGTAGGGGTTTATACGGGTTTAGGGTTTAGAGTTGAGCAGGTTGGGTAATCCTAACTAACTAAGGGTCCTGATTTAAGGGATCCTCAATCCTACTTATCTTTATCCCGCTTTTTGACGCTTCCAAAGGTCAGGGGGTTCCCTTAAAGGGATCCATAGGGAGTTCTATAACGGCTTCGGGCGGGTTTCAGGGGGTTAGGGGAGTTTAGGGTTTGAGGGTTAGGGGGGTTTAGGGTTTTCGGGTTTTGGGGTTTTCGGGGCTATATGCTTTGTGGAGTTTGAATGCTTTAGGTACTTTAGGTCTTTGGGGTTTAGGGTTTAAGTCCTCCGGGTTTCCCTGCTGTAGAGCTAAATGTTAGAGACGAGTCTAGGGTTGGTTTAGGGTTCAGGGCGCAGGGTTCACTTTGGTTTGGTTTTTTCAGAGGTTGATGCGATCTGTCAAATATGAGGGCCCGCACCATTTTAGCTAGCTTTTTGTTTGAGGGGCGTGAAACTGTGATAAACTAAGAAACAGCGGCAGGGAGTGGCAGTACAGGACGGAACCCAAGGAATAAGGAAGGGTAATAGACAGTCTTCAGGCACTGGATTCGTATTGTCGGCATTCTAGCAACACCTGAGGGAACCAGTGTAGTAATTACTTTAGAAGCCTTCAGGAATAGTTTAAATGCGAATATGTACTATTTTTTCGTGCCCTGTCGTATAAACTCCCGTACTTGGAGGATCATGGGGCTCAGTAAGTAGGTGAGATACCTCTTTGGGCTATAAGCAATTACAATAAGAGCTACCCGATTCGTAGCCGTAAGTACTGAGTCCGTGATGCTTGGAGTAAGGAGACGCCAAAACAGAATGGTACTTGGAGGGTCGGGGGACTTAGTAAGTAGGTAGCAAGTAGACTTATAAGTACCCTAAAAGGGACCCTAATTGCTGTTATGGTACTTATAAGTCCCTAAAATAACCAGCTACTAAGCCCCCGACCCTCCAAGTAACAATGGGGAATCCAAGAATGTACGGAAAATGCGGACCGCGCATCCATGCCACTCGGCCCCACTGAGACTGAGCTTACGGTTTACGGATGTTTAGGGTTTACGGATGTTTAGGGTTTAGTATTTACATAGCCCTAAACCCTAAACCAGCTCCCTTGGGAGAGCAGGTGGTTGGGCTCGCACATAGACACGGCGGGGATGCCCCACAACCCTCTCGCTTCTCAGCAGATCGAAGTGGGCAGTGTCCGACTCTCAGGTTTCGGCCCGACAGCTACGTGACACCCCCATCGCTGGACCGTTCGGTTTAGGGTTTAGGGTTTAGGGTTTAGGCTCCTACACATTCTGGTGCCCTTCACGCAGTTCTTGAATCTGGGAGAGTACACCAACGCCGCATCTCCTACCTGCTTTCGACTAAATGATGTCAGCGATGGGCGCTGATAGCCACGGCTTTGCGGTCGCTACCGCACAGGGGACTTAGCAACTGGTCATTTTAGGGACTTATAAGTACCATAACCCCAATTAGGGTCCCTTTTAGGGTACTTGTAAGTCTACTTACTACCTACTTACTAAGTCCCCCGACCCTCCAAGTACCCCTGTCGCCATGGTGTCAGTTTACAGGAAGGCACTGAAGAATGAATGGTCGGTCAGACTCGTCCTACTTGGAGGTTCATTGGTAGTTATACGTACTGTCATAAGTCCCCCAATATGGGTTATAAGCATAGTTACCCTACTTATAAGCCCCACATAACAATGAAACTACCCATGAACCTCCAAGTAGGCCCTAAACCCTATACCCTTATAGAATGACTATAGATCCCTTTACAGGGACCCTTAAAGGAACCCTTACAAGCCTGAGGCAATCCTGCATTTGGAGGCTAAGGTCCAGACAGTCTGGATCCGAATGGTTGGAGGGATCTTGCCGCAAGCTAAGCCTTTTAAAGGGGGTTCTAAGGGCTCCTTTAGAGGGGATGATAAGGGTTCCCTTAAAGGGGATTATAAGGGCTCCTGTAAAGGGGATTATCATTTGGGTTCCTTTAACTGGGCTTTGGAGTACCATACTTTCACACTTCTTTTCTTAGAGAGGAATTGTTATGAAATAGGAGTTTACATGTTTTCTCCTTGCTGCTCCTTGCTTGCTTACAAGCCCAGTAATCCCCTAAACCCTAAAACCCTTAGAAATCGTAAGCCCCGGTACAGATTTCTTATAGATCCCTAGCACCTTATAGAGCTCTCAGAGTACCCTTAAAGGGGTCCTTGAAAGAACCTTTAAAGGAACCTAGGATCCCTGATACTTTGGATCAAAGGGCAAAAGGAGGGACCCTTAGTGGGGATCCCTACCATATAGCAGGCTATATAATGGGTGTATAAGTGCTATATTAAGGTCACATACCTAAGTACCACAACCCCAAGTAGGATCCCTGTGAGGGTACTTATAATTTCTACCTACTACCTAATTACTAAGTCCCCCGACCCTCCAAGTAGGGGTCCTCATTAAGGATCCCTCCTTTTATCCGTGGAATAGAGCCTTATAGATCCCCTGCACCTTATAGAGCTCTTAGAGTACCCTTGAAGGAGCACTTGAAGGATCCCTTAAAGGAACTTGTAGGATCCCTTAAACTCTAGAGCCCGAAAGCTGCGTCTGCAGGATGAGGACTGGCCCGAGGAGGCGGGATTCGGGGCCTTCAGTACAGAAAATCCAGAGAGCCCAATACCCCGAGACTCCAATATCCCTTAATTAAGGAGTGTACCTTAAGTTACAGAAGGATGGCTTATATGATTTAAGGTGTATTCCTCAATTAAGGGATATTGGAGTCTCTGGGTACCCCTTAGTTGCACAGATTTTGGGAGGATCTAGAAAGTAGATCCCCTACTTTGGGGCGCTAGACTACTAAGGGTACTTTACAGGAACCCCCATTACGGAATCTACTTTTTGGATCCTTTTGGAGGTCTGGGTAAAGAACTTGGGGAATTGGGGATTAAGGGTTTATGTGCCTGAGAAAGTGGTTTAAGTGGTTCTACTGTTAGTTCGTGCGCGGGTTCCCAGTGGCAGCATAACTACACATCTGCATTTTTTGGCCATGGCAACCCCTCGGCACCCCTACAGAGATTTAACAGTACATGGTATGCCCCCCAAACCCTCTTCTGGACTTTAAGGCTTTTGTAGTGTTTCCTTCATGCCCACCCCCCAGTAGTAGAGTAGGTAACCTTTAACATTTTGTGGGTAGTCTCGTCCCTATATAATCCCTATACAACCACAGGGGGTTAACCTTCAATTCGCCATGATACCCGACAATTAGGACCCTGTCCAAGACACTAGACTACAAACTTCACAACCCCGAATACCCTATAGCAGCTTCTAGATCCCTTAACCTGGGTATGGAGTACCATACTTCAATACTGTTTTGGGGTACCTGTTCCTTAAAGGAACCATTATGAAATAAAAGTCTATACTTGTTTCTCCCTGCTTACTTCAAAGTCCAGTTCAAGGACCAGGGCGGGCCGATAGCAGGGGTTCTGGGGGGTTGTGTAGTACCTAAATCAACCCCTGTCTTGCAGGCCATTTTCAATCACAGGTCGCATGCGCATCGAAGCCCTAAGCTCTTTAAACCCTTAAGACCCTTAAAACCCTGAAGCACCGAAGCCCAAAAACTCGCTGCGCTGGACACTGGAGCGCTGAGCAGCGGTGAGGCGGGGAGACGGGGTTGGTTCAGGGATAGGTGGATTTTGGGTTTGGGGTTTGACATTAGTGTGTTATGGGTTTAGGGTTCGATGTTGTTTGGGTTTTGAATTTAAGGTCTTAGTTCCGATACAGAGTAGATGAGCATAGTCCCTGCTCAAGGATGACACTAAACCCTAAACCCTAAACCCTAAAACCCTAAAACCCTAAACCCTAAACCCTAAACTCTTAACCCTAAACTCTTCAAGGCCCCCTAAGAGGAGTGACTAGTGACTAGACCCGAAACCCTGAACCCCAAACCCTCAACGCCCTATTCTAGTACCCTTATAGACCCCAAACCAAAAAATAAATAAAGGGTCCCCCTAAATTCAGGCCTGCGAGAGCCGCTGTGCTTGCAGGCAGGTTGGCAGGGTTTTAGGGGGTTTTTTGTCTTGGCTGCCTGGCTGAGCTACCGCGCTCGGCCGGGCAGTACCGTTTCTTTTTGCTGGCTGAGCTTTCGCGCTCGGCCGGCTTCTTCTGCCATCCTGGCTGAGCTACCGCGCTCGGCTGGGGCGGTACCCTTGCTGGCTGAGCTTTCACGCTCGGCCGGCGGTGGCGGAGCTTCCACGCTCTGCTGCCACCGTCCTGGCTGAGCTTCCGCGCTCGGCCGGGGCGGTATCCTGGCTGAGCTTTCACGCTCGGCCGGCGGTGGCGGAGCTTCCACGCTCTGCTGCCACCGTCCTGGCTGAGCTTCCGCGCTCGGCCGGAGCGGTATCCTGGCTGAGCTTTTGCGCTCGGCCGGGGGTGGCGGAGCTTCCACGCTCTACTGCCGCCGTCCTGGCCGAGCTTCTGTGCTCGGCGGGGCGGTATCCTGGCTGAGCTTTTGCGCTCGGCTGGGGGTGGCGGAGCTTCCACGCTCTGCTGCCACCGTCCTGGCCGAGCTTCCGCGCTCGGCCGGGGCGGTATCCTGGCTGAGCTTTTGCGCTCGGCTGGGGGTGGCGGAGCTTCCACGCTCTGCTGCCACCGTCCTGGCCGAGCTTCCGCGCTCGGCTGGGGCGGTACCCTTGCTGGCTGAGCTTTCACGCTCGGCCGGCGGTGGCGGAGCTTCCACGCTCTGCTGCCACCTTCCTCTCGATCCTGGCGGAGCTTCTGCGCTCTTCCGGGGATGGCCTGTTTTTTTGTTGTTCTGTTTGTTTGTCCCTGTCTGTCTGTTTGTCTAAACCCTAAACCCTAAATTAAACCCTAAACCCCCTACTGTCCATTTTCACACTTGGGAGGAGTGCTGAGCTGCTGGGAGCCCGGAGCCTCAGCACCGAGTGCGAGAACCAGTCAGGTAAAGCGAATGATTAGAGGAATCGGGGACGCGTTGTCTTCGACCTATTCTCAAACTTTAAATGGGTAAGATCCACAGTGGTTACTTGATTGAACTTCTGGGATAAATGAAAACTTTAAGTGGGCCGTTTTTGGTAAGCAGAACTGGCGATGAGGGATGAACCTAACGTCGGGCTAAGGTGCTTAATTGCACGCTCATCAGATACCACAAAGGGTGTTGGTTCATTTTGACAGCAGGACGGTGGTCATGGAAGTCGAAATCCGCTAAGGAGTGTGTAACAACTCACCTGCCGAATGGACTAGCCCCGAAAATGGATGGCGCTCAACCCGAGACTCCGGCAATTGCATTCTGACCATAGTACTCTGCTCCCCAAGGCCCGACCAGAGAGATGGGCGAGCTCCACGACAAAGGCAGGCGATCAGGCTTATGGGCTTGTTGCGGCCGGTTTTGCTTTCCCTTAACAGGACTTTACCATATTTCTAATAGAAATATAAGGCGGCCCTATTCAAAGGGGGCAAAATTGTCCTTTCTTGGGCGACAACCACCCTTTTGCAGGGTTTTTGCACCAGGAAACCCTAAACCCTAAAGCCCAAGGGCCTACATACTCCGCAGCTAGCAAGAAAAATCGCTGGAATATCATGATAATCTAGAATCCAAAAGATATCTTATGTATCGACCATCTCGAAATGACAATGACTGCTAGCCTGCTAGCCTCAGCCCAGACTGTGACAGTCATTTCAGAACCCCAAAAAATCTATCCGAGACTCCGACAGTTGCAATGTCACCCGTGACCGGCTTCTCCTACCTTGAGTGTTGCATAAGCTAGCTGCAGTCACTATCCAGGCGGCGACCTCCGTGATCCAGAAAGCCAGCGCTCGCCACGGTCGCTGAGGCCTCGTGCATGCCATGCCTGCTTGTGACTCGATGTGCCCATGTCCTCTGCAATTGCAACATGGAAGTGGTCCATAGAAGCTGCTCCTTCAAGATTTCGTGCTGCGACACCGGCTCAATCACCCAGATGCCCTAGCGGAGGGCCTTCACCACTCTGGTTTTGGCTGTGCCGCTCTCGAGCCATTTCCATCGATGCCGCCAGACCCCAAGGATCTCAGAGCGCCCCGGCTGAACTTGGCTGTCTGAATGTAGTGTATTGATCTGTTGTGGTCAGACCGGCAAACCTTGCCTTACTACTCAGGCTCAGGGTGGCTGTGCAGACAACAAGAGATCGCACAAGAACTGCAACCCTGCCAAGCAGCAGAAGAGGAAGGAGGCGAAAAACAAGAAAAAGAAGGAGAAGAAGGCTGGAGCTCTTGACTTCCGCCTTTCCCAGATATCTCTTTCCCTTGGGCTCGTCAGGCAGCAGCGGCGGCCGGCTCGAGCAAGGAGCAAGCGTGTTGTTGTTTGTTAGTTCCCCGTAGTCTGGAAAGTCAGTGCGTTTGCGAATGATTCCTGTAAGAATACTGCAGGACAAGCCTGACCCGAAGTCCACATTGACACCTCATGGCCGCCATGGCAGTGCATCGGCCGCGTCCTCGCCCTTGAACACCAATACCAAGGCCAAGGCCAAAGCTAAGCCGAAGGAGCTGGAGCAGCTGGAGGAGGAGCCGAAGTACACCGACAACATGGAGCAGAACCAGCTGCGCGTGAGCAAGATGAGTCCGGACGAGTTGGTGGAAACATACTTGGAGCCTTGGCACACTAGAGAGTCCTTGTCCACAGAGCCTAGCTTGCAGATTTATGCCGGCCCCGCAAAACATCACTGCCAGGCACTCCTCCAGAAGTACGGCAATATCCGGACGAAGCTGAGCTTGTTTTCGCACAACAACTACCCAGAAGCTAGGTTGCATTTCATTCTGGGTCCTATTCTTTCTTGTCCCTTCTACTCTCTTGGCAATGTTTGTGTCAGTAAGGCCTGGAACAGGGAGAATTTGCCCTTCGAGCACCTCCCGTTTGACCCTCAACCCATCAATCTCAAGGACAGTTGCACTTATATGAAGGGTCGGTTTGGGGTGATGATCACAGATGGCCCACTTGGTGCTGACAGGACCTCAAGGCCGTGAAGGATATGGTGCTCAATCTCATGCAATGGCTGAATTTCGGCGACTTCCAGCTCCTCTGGTGGCAGGGTCAAGTGACGAAGGGCATGGCAAAGGCCGCATAATAAAACCTTTGCCAATCGGTCCCACAGGTCCGAATCCAGGTGCAGGGTGATAAGTCCTGGTAAGTTTGATAGTTCTCAAGTAATATATCTGTACTTAGTTTGGGTTTGGGCTACTTGAGTAAGTTTAAAGTCTCTATCGTGCCGTTACCTGGATTCCAGAGACCGCAGTTGCTTGTCACTCCCAGTGGCCACTTCCCCAAAGCCAAAGGCTGAGGCTAAGGCCTCCAAGTATCCAACTGGGACTGGTACCTAGGACCTACAATTGTGGTAGCTGAAGACTTACATTTAAATTTAAGAAAGCGTACCTACTTTGGCCCACGGTGGGCTATCTGGAAGGGGCTACTGGCGATTCGTCACTCTGACTCGATCCTGACCGCAATTTGATTTTGGGGCCCGAAGTATCCAAACAGTATCTGTTTTGGGGTTTGAAGCCTACAAATAATACCTATTTTGAGGCCAGTGCGGTGTGGATTGATCTGTGAAGCGACAAGCTCTTGGAATGGTGCAAAACATGGTGCT